TATGATAACCAACCTTTTCAAAATTAGTGGACGTGCAATGTTTAGGTACTTATTCTGCATTTACACACTTTAGATAAATGATAGCGTATAATAAAAGAAATTGATGTAACAAGCCGACTAGTGTTAGAATTTTGTATGCATGCTTAAAAGTGACGTTTCACAAAATGGCGCCCGCAGTTTTAACATCCGATACCTATCTGACACTACCTACATTATACATAAGATAATTGTATAATACCTACTACCTTTGCTCGTATTAATTTTTTTATTCCATTAGGGACAGTAAAAGGTACAATTTGCCATATTCTGTAAATTAACGCTAAATTTATAATAATTAGTTGTTGTACTTAATGCATGAAAATGTAGTTAGGACGGAATTTCGTATTTATAATAATAGTATGTTTATCATATTTGTGAGGATGGATGTTTGATACCCAATTCCCAACGAACGGCTTAACGGATCTGGTTGAAATTAAGGACAGAGATAGATTGCGGTCTAAAATACATAGGCTACCTTTATCAGAAACATTCATTAACAGAATCGACGAGCTAAGTAGAAAACTATAAGCTAATAGTAATTAAGTGATTAAAAAAAATTGTCCTGTCAGAAAATAATACAGATTCAAAAGAAAAAAAAACATGACGGTTTATTCAATGATAGACAATGTTATCTTTTTCTTTGTTCTCTATTAAAAATCAACAACTGATTAACTCTATGATCGATCAACTCTTGAAAATGTAGCAAGCACTTGGTATCTTTAGTCTACTCATAGTCTATTCACATTCATATCCAAATGGGGTAGGTAAAGCACTGCAAAGAGAAGGAAAACTTGACATAAACCCTATACCAACCCGTCTGGCCAGCGTGGTATAGTACGCCAAAACCTCCTTTATAAGGAGAGGCCTATGTCTAGCAGTAGACAAGTACAGGCTGTTGATGTGAGATGGAGAAATTAAGAGTAGGTATATTGATTAATCATCAAATGAATACATATTTTTTTTAATAATTCTAAATGCAAAATTCGTGCAGTGTACTTGACTATGGCAGTCCTGTTTGGTCTCCCAAATAGTTTACATACACAGATAAAAAAGAGAGAATTTAAAAACGTTTCTTAAAACATCTAAATTTCAAGATGAATCTACTGCCTCTATCTAGTAGGCGTGTGTTACTAGACTTGAGCTTTTTATTCGCTTTTATTCGAGGTGAAATTGATAGTAACGACCTTCTTTCTAATATTAGTTTGAATGCACCCAAGGTTTCGTACTAGACATTCGCGCCTGTTTAGTATTCCTCTGCACCGCACCAATTATGTTAAGAATGCTGTTCCCACTCGTTTGCCTAGCTGTTACAATGATAATTTTGACGAAATTCACATCTTCCACCTCTCAAAAGGTGCCTTTAAAAAACAAATCACTAAAAAGTTGCAATCATACTTGTGAATCCAAATAAAGATTGTTCTTGAAAGTTGCTTTCTTTTGGAATACTTCTCACTCTGCACAATATACTTAATATAACTAAATTAGAAATAGTCTATACAAATAAATGAAATTGAAGTGTCTGTTTGTAATGTCAAAATTATGGGTTTTTTCATGCTCACACGGTTATTTGCACGATACCTATGCCTAAAAACCAGTTATTTTTTTTCGTCTGTCTGTCTGTTTGTTCCTGGTAATCTTCTAAACGGCTGGACCGATTTCGATAATATTTTACTACCAAGTAGCTGTCTACATAAGGAATAACTTAGACTATTTTTCCTCTCAGAAAACCCTTTAAAATTTTGCCTAGTCCGGGCATCGAACCCACTATGGAAAAACGAACACTAAGGTGTGACCCGCAACCACTTCGTGTAGTACATTGTATATATATTGATAGAAGGATTTTTCAAACAAATTTATGACTCCGGTGGATGGTCGAGGGAGGCTGTAATAACTAACAATATTGCCGGTTGCCCCGTACTAGACAAGCCTGTCCTGTGTGTAATGACATGTACATTATTAACTCAAGGCAATACAGACATGTCAAGGTTTTGGCGGGTTTCTTTTCGGTCCAGTCTGACGTTACTACCTGGGAATATAATCGTTTTCAGATGGGACTAATAAGGTCAAGGGTAAATATCACAAGTTCCGTTGTATCAAATTTCTTTTATGAGATCAAGTGTTTTGGGCATGCTTTGCAGCCGAAAGAAAAAATGGGGGATATATTTACTAATTTAATTGAGTCGATATTTAATCATAGTCCCCAAGTACTAACACGGCCAAAACCCTCCTAAATAGTTATAAGGATGCCAAACAAAAATAAAAGATCCATTGATCGACCCCAAAATATGTGCAGAATGTGCAAAGCCACTTCGAGACCCGTCCGCCGCGCCGGATCAGCTCCAATACCTGGGCAATTTGAGCCGTGGCCCTCAGGGTTACCTCACGGTGCGTCTTGCCCACGCCGTCACGAGCGTATCGTCCGCGTAGCACGTGATGGCTACACTATTCAAGAAGGCACTACAAAGCAAACAGCCGTAGCCGATGTTCCACAGGAGCAGTCCTAACACCGACCTCTGTGAAACAACGCACGACATTTCACGTCGACCGAGACCGGTCCTACTGCTACTACGACTACTGCTACTGCTACTACGACGGCTCTCTCCGACAAATATGCCCCGACTATGCGGCGGAGGTAGAGAGGCACTTCGTGATACACGAGGTACTCTAGGCAATGTCCATGGACACCGCCACCACCCCTTTCCACGGACAACTGCTCCCTCCGCCAGAGCCGTCACGCGCATGTTCGCCAGACCCGGTCCCGCTCTGACGAGGTGCTTGACAAAGCGTCTTGCAATCACTCTTTCGAAGAGATTGCACACCTCGTCAAGCTACACTATGGGCCGGTAGGAATAAGAGCATAAGGTATGACAAAGATATTGTTAAAGAGCTGTACCAATGCAAGCGAAATATTTGCTTAAAAGGAGGTTCATCGTGATCTAATGTAAAACAATGTATTTGATAAAATAAATATTTCCAATTTGATGGAGTTTCATGCCTGTTCTTCTCCATAGGATCATCTACGTTTTGGAACAGGCAACTACCTAACTAGGCAAAAAATACATAATTATATAATCAGTTTAATTGAATTAATAATAAAATATTTCATTTATTTTTTTGTCCGATATTTATTTGATAAAGGCATATGACGGCGAAGTGATATTTATAGATTTTAAAAATAGTTCTTTGTGTACATACATATGTCATTTAGCTTTGTTATTATTTAGGTTCTAGATTCAACATGTAAAACGTTACAGTAATTCGACATTATTGCGTACTTATTATATTTGTCATCCGAGAATGAGACATCCTTGTATTTAATAGAGTATTTGCGTGCATATGTACTATATTCCCGCATATCCTTATCAAATATTACCTATATAGCAATGTATCTGATATGTATAGCTATGTACACATCAAATCACTAATCTCGAGTGTGTACTAGTACTTTTAAGAAAGAGATTCGCGCACGATAAAATCACACAACTAGCGGGCAATAGGCTTTTGAATATGGAAGGTTTTTTTATTTATTTATTTAACACTTAAACAACGTAGGTACAACAAAACATTATTCGTTTTTTGGTACTGTAAAATCACTAAGGTAGTAAGTACCGTTAGTTCATGTGCAGAAAATTGACAATGTATTAAATTGTTTGAGTGATGCATTTCAATATTTTACACAAAAGACGTTCATAAATAAAAAACAGAGAGAGTCACTTGTTTGTTTGTTGAAAAATATTTCTGTATTATTGTGCTATTATCCATTTGCAGGTACATATAAGAAACCTAATTGTTATTGCCAAGTCATGAATTTCAAGCTGGCATGTATGTATAATTCTAATAAGTATTTGTATTAGTCACACAAACTACTTTGTAGTTTAAATTAATAGAGTTACTTTCAAAATATTCTTATCTTTGATGAAACAAAAATGTTCTTGGAGTACAAATTGCACCACCTTTTCATTTCTATGATACAGCTTTTTTGAAAAATATTTATAAAAAAAGATCATCATGGCAGATGTTAATGTTTAAAATGGGTGATTGAATTTATTTTGTAAACAACTGTCAGCTGCTAACCATAGACAATATTGACATTAACACATAAAACAAAAACATTCAAGGTTATTCAGCACATGTCAGAACTCTTTAATTAGGTACTTTTTATATGACATGTGTTATTCCTATTTTAATTGGAATAGCAATAAAAGTAAAATTGATAGTCTATGAAATAAAGTGTTCTCCAAGTTTCCTGTAAACAGTTTACCTACTTTAGAAACTTCAAATTGTTCAGTATCAAATAGCTTATTTTAATTTGAAGAGTGTAACAATAAAAACATGTGTGAATTAAAAATATTCATTTTTTTGAACAATCAGATCAGAGAGAACAACAGCAAAAGAAACATCATTTTATTACAATAAATTAACTGCAATAAACATAGCAATACGTTTCTTGCTATTTTCATACAATTACTCAATTGAAATAAAATTGAGTAGGTAAAAAGCTAATGAAAGTTAAAGGCCATTTCTTGGTAACTATTATTAATATTTAGATGCTTATCATTATTTCATTCAATTTGACCTTAAAAACATCATTACTTTTATATGTTCACCGCTAGATGGCAGCACAGGTGACGAAACAGATAATCAAAGTTCGATACCCACGCAGAACGCTCTAATAAAAACAGATGTACAAGCTTAAATGACAGTGAAGTTTCTGGTTAAACTGGTAAAATTTTAAGTGCTTTAAGTAAGAAACGTTTTGACTATTAATAGTTATTATAAATATTGTATGTCATCATCATCAGTCAGGTAAGCTTTGTTAAAATTCAGATGTAAAACATACTACCTACCTTCGTTTTTTTATTTTGTCGTATAAACAAAGAATGCAATGTCATTGGACGAACGTAGAAGTACCTAACCTATATTTCTCAATAACCTACTTGAAAATAAAAAAATAAACTCACATTGGGGTGTAGCCGACGCAGGAATTAAAACAGCCAGGAACCCGGCGATGACAAAGAGGATTGACTTCATGGTTTTTTTTTAAATTAAAATCACAGATACTTTGACGAAAATGTTATGACGAGCAGTTCCGTTACGTACGAGTACTCGCGAAAGTCTAGCCTTTACACACACTGGCGCAGAAGGCGACTTATCATACCCAACAAAATTGAAAAACAAGAGCTATTCGCGTTGATGCCTCTGATTAAACGCATTTAATGAACTGCGCAGCGATAACCGAACCATCTCGTGTTGACAACAGCTCGGGGAATGACAGTGTAGAGCGAGAGGCAATATACCCTCGTTCCGTTCGTTACACAACAATATCCTCATAGAGGTTTCGTGTTCCAAGTCGACTTATGGAATATTTTCAGACCTATTTTCGATTTTTGTGCACTAAAATCTAAATTTTTCCACATCATCATGTTTAATTCAATGATGGCACGTAATTGAAGTATTCTAGGTTCTTTAATAAGTGTCATTCATACACAGAATTATTGAAAAAGAAAGAAACATCTAGAAACACAAAACCTCAACATTCTCAGTATGACAGAAATAATACGTCATTCTTCGGTTGGATTGCGGGGTAATGGACCAGAGGGGTAAGGGGAAATAATACTGCCAGCATTACAAATTTACTAGTTTTCACGGAACATTGATTGTGAATAGTCTTTACTTTTTATGACTCTTTTAACATAAGCTTCAATTTGGAACAATTTAAGTAGTCGTACCAGATATATTGTTGTAGATTACAAGGCGTTTAGTGGACAGATTCAAACATAAAATAAAAGCAAAGGTAAATTTATTCTTAAACTAGCCACACTAAAGATTGAGTGCAGCAAACTTCACGTGACAGACATAAAATTTTCTGTCACATTATCATTTTGTTGTTCGCATCCAATCGCAACGCGAGATTATCGTTTTAATTACAAATACTCCGAACTCTGTTTGACGGAGTCTTTTATCAATTCACTAGTCTTTGTTGAAGGTTGCCTTCTGCGCCAGTGTGTGTAAAGGCAGCACTTTCGACAGAACTCTAATCTTGTCTCCTACAATTTGTACACTTTGTGATTTAAATTGTTTCACAAATTTTGGTGAGTTGATTTTTTCTACGCGTCATTTAATTTTGAAATTCATTCTGTGGTTTTATTTAAAAGGTAGGTGTTTGTAAATTATTCTTTGTTCTCGAGAGCAAATAATATAACTGCCTAGATTTACAAAATAATAATGTTTATCTACGTTGTCAGTTGATATTTAATGGTGGTTTTAAATTGTATATCCTAACATAAGGATCTTTAAATAACAATTTTTTTTTTTAATTCGTGTTATAGTTTTAAGTTACCATGGAATAACGAAATTGCAAATGAGGTGAAAAAAACTTTCAAACATTTCTAATCTGTGTGTAATGGTGATTGACATTTCCAATTTCCATCAAAACATTAATATGTCAATATCTGTGTTTTGATTTAAATTTAAATCCAAAAGAAGATACCTACATAAATATAAATATTGTAATTTATGACATTGTATAAACAAAATACATGTAGGTATAAGTTGCTTATTTTAAAGTATCGGTCATGATTTATTTTGCTCACATTGCTTACATTGCTCAGTTATTACAGATCGTTTTATTATAAAATCATCATCCATATTATAGGAAATCTTATCTATGTAAATATCTATGCTTATTTATGCTTTAACATTGATTTAAATTAAGAATTTTATCTAATCTAATATGTACATCTGAATACAAAGCATTTGTTTGTTCATAATTGTAAATCTGAAGTTCTTTGCCGACAGTGCTGAAATTATTACACGAGTTACGTTGTATTCTTATACGAGCATGTTTTTATTAAACCAGGATGGGGATGACTTTGTTTCTTCGTATTTCATACGCTTCCGTATTGTTAACTCGATGATTAAGAAATTTCGCATGGTAGGGGCGGATGCAAGCCAGAAGAAAAATGCTTATTAGCGTAGGATGCTTTTGTAAATTTTGACGTAATATAAGACGGGAGTTGCGTTTTATTTCGTTGGTTGGTGGTTTGTTTTAAGTTACAATAGGATATAATCACATTACAGTCAACGTTAGATGCTAAAGGTTTTTACTACGAAAATACGTTATATGACAGTTGTGAGATCGAAAGTTGATCGGAACTGAATTTTGACCTAACTTTTATTACGAGAATTGGCCTTCAGTTTTCATGCATACAAATATGTGCAATCAGTGGGTTTATGTAAACCCTGATATTGCATTCAATATCTTTCGAGTATGATGGATGCTTTGAATTATTTTTTGTTTTAATTTGATACAACTATTTAATAAGAAATTAGTTTTATAAATAGCAAACAGAATTAAAAACTATGCCAAAATTATAATTTTATTTTGTGCCAAAAAGAGGCCACACAATAACCTTTGAATGTTTTAATATATTAAAATGCAGTATAATTGCATTTTTGCATTGTAAAATAAACAAAAGACTCCATAATTTGTTTCTTTTGCTTACTACAATTACTTTATTTACTTTTTAATTGATGAAAACCTGCTTTATATGATTAAAGTATAATCTTATATTAACTACTATGCTGTAGTATTAAAGCTCAGGGTAACACAGATGCCTCATCATTGTAGTTCAGGGTGGATCCACGAGGAATCGTGAGGGTGATCACATCCCCTGGTCATGCTATATTATACAAATTGGATAAATTGGCTTCTTATTTAAGTTCTAAGTTGGATCTGCCCCTGCTAGTAGTAGGTAGTGGTAAAAAAAATTGTGTAGCAACTTTCGTCACATAGACAGCCATTGTGTTACGTATAAGAAGTAACTATTGTCACTAGAGCGTGTCACGTCATTTTGAAATGATAATCACATCAAAAGCCTTTACTAGTCCACTGCTGGACATAGGCCTCTCCTTAGAAAGGAGGTTTTGCCCCACTGTACCACGCTGGCCAGACGGGTTGGTATAGGGCTTCTTCCAAGTTTGCCTTCTCTTTGCAGTGCTGTTGTCCTGCGTGGTTTTCTTCCTTAGTTGGCTCTTATGACGCCTACGGGGTGAATAAGTGTGGTGACACTCTGTATTCCTAATCCGTCAACACACAGATAGAAATGATAATGGTAGTAACAAAATATAGATAGACACATGTCATTTTAGTTTAAAAATGGAAATAATTCATCTAACGTATCCACCGCTCATACAATTTCCCATGTTACTGAATTTCTTTCTCTCCAACATCTGTATAAAAATCTATATTTCTTTTTCAGAACAATGAAGGCTGTAATATTTTTCTGCCTCCTGGCCGTCTCAGGCTCGCTGGCAGCTGAGTCCTGCTACCAGAATGTTGAGATGGACTGTAGCACAGTCTCTAACAGTTTAGGTGAGTTCTAGAAAAAAAAAGTATATTTATGCGACATCCTCAGGTGTCAAGGACATTCGTAGGTCTACCTTTGGGTAAACCGGTTCTCCAGGAGTCCCACACACGCCCTGCGTTTCCCCAACGGAGCATTCCCCGCGTTAAATAAAAAAAAAGTTACCTTCTGAACTGAGTGTTTTTGCAAATCTGCAATTTAGTTAACAGGACATATTTTATTTAATGGCTCTCGTACAAGCACATAACAAAACAAAGTATATATCTATTTATAAAATAATATACCTACACATACAGAATTAGTCAAAGCTAAAAAACGTTTCCCAAAACTGTCATTTTTAGGCTTCCGTACCCAAACTGTAAAACGGCACCCTATTACTAAGACTCCGCTGTCCGTCCGTCTGTCTGGACAGTTGGAATTTTCACAGATGTTGTATTTCTGTTGACGCTATAACAACAAATACTAAAAACAGAATAAAATAAATATTTAAGTGGGGCTCCCATACAACAGACATGATATTCTTACCGTTTTATAGATAATGGTATGGAACCCTTCGTGCGCGAGTCCGACTCGCACTTGGCCGGTTGTTTAAATTTACTTTATGGTTATTTCTTTTAAATCCTAAACTATAAGAGTGAAGTGTAGAGAGTAGTGTATTTTTTTTTTTTAAATTTCCCTAGTAGATTTTTTCAATGTTTTCTATATTGCATAAGCGTAGTATCTATGCAATTTGTTGATTATGTTACCTACCTATACTACAATAGATTAATCAGTTTCTATGCCACTTAACAAACTATGTACCTAATTGTTTTTGTTCTAAAATAATAATTAAAAAAGTACTCGGAATTTTCTCGGTTTGGCGCGTTCTGTTCTGATACTTATTTTCACAGCATTTTTTCTAAATATTTCCTCTCTAAAAACAAATATTGAATGAGCGAATACATTAATGATTTAAACATTTAAGTAATTGTTTGTTATTAAACATGTATGTTATGTCGGTCACATTTAGTGACGCGACGACACATTAATTCGTCCACCCACAAATATTGTAAGTGATAGTGGACAAATTACATTACTGTGAAATATAATATATTTAAATATAGTAACAATTTTGACCCAATAACTTTCCTAACCATTATAGTCATTACTTTCAAACTGTTTTCTTAATTTCATTTCGGATCATGGACGGTTTGTAAATTTTGTCAGTGTCATTTGGACAGTAATTCTATTATTATTGCATGTAATGACGGGCCTGTTGGTTTAGTGGTTAGTGACCCTGACTGCTGAGCCGGAGGTCGTGGGTTCGATTCCCACCCAGGACAAATATTTGTGTGATGAGCACAATCGTTTGTCTGTGTCTGGGTGTAATTTATTTATAATATATAAGTATGTTAATCAGCAGTCTGGTGACCATAGTACAAGCTCTGCCTAGTTTGGGATCAGTCAGCCGTGTGTGAGATGTGTGAAAAGAAGAAAAAAAACATACATTTTTTTTATTCATTTCATAATAAAAACGTGTTGATGTTTATCAATTCACAATAATAAACATCATGCGTTTTGTATCAGCCACCATATTTTGTTCCTTTGTGTTGAACCATTCGCTCACACTGACGTAAACTGTTGTTCTTTGGTAAGATTTTTCTTTCTCTTCTTTGATAAACAAAGACATGACTGATAGCACACCATCACGTCAATCAGATCTGAGTCACGATAAAGGTCGATGTTATGAGCCAATGATAAAATGAAAAGTTAAAAAATGCTTAGATATGCCTTTGCATCTTTAGAACTTTATCATATCTAAACCTTGCTAGGCCGTTATACGCCATTTTATATTAGATTGTGGTCACTGCTCTCCTCCTAAGAACGCTAGCTTGCGTACCGTGCTTGCTAGCGGACCGTCCTTTTTAACTGACTTCATTACGAAATCACTGCCATAGATTAAAAAAAATCGAGATCATAAAGGACGAGATGTCACATTTTTGGCTCGCTCTTTTTTTTTCGCAACAGACTTATTTAACTACTTTTTAATATAAATCTTATTGTTCTGTGTTTTAAAAAAGTGTTGTTCTTTTTTTGTAGATGGAGTTGGTAAGTGGTGCTGGTTTTTTATATTGTAGCAGGCTTACTTAAATAAAATATTACTAAAAAACAAGCCCCAAAATTCCACATTGCATAATCTTTCAAATTGATTCAAATTACCATGGTCATTTTCACTTGATAAGTTATTATAAACGGGATATTTACCGTTCACCCGTCAATATGATGCTTGCGACAGTGCCAAAAACTAATTCGCGAAGGTAAACAAGGGAAATATACCGTAATAATTACTCATCAAATATACAGATTGCGTGCACCAATGTACAGATAAATATATTATGTAATGTAATTTATGAAACTTCCATACAATATCCAAATTTCCTGAAATTAATTTTCCGTTTTGCATGTCGAGTTAATTGCTACATCGTCTGTTAAAATCCATTTAATAACTATAGTTCATTCGCCTAAAGAAAATAGTGACGCATCGATCAAGTCTGTTGGAAAGTTGGACAATTTAGAATTAAACCTTTTGGGTACATCAAGCCCCGCAACCTGACCAGTCCAGTTCCAAGAAATTATCGTTTCGTTCGAAAGTTTGGTTTAATTCTAAATTGTCCAACTTTCATGTCAAGAATAAAATGCAGATAAATACATAAACTCATAACTTTAGGGGCATCACACATCAACAGCCTTTAATAGTCCACTGCTGGACATAAGCTTCTCTTTAGGAAGGAGGTTTACCCTTTGGGGTAGTTAGAGAGAATAGCTCTTGGCTTTGCAGCTTATCTTCTATTGACTTCTTGACATATAAAAAAAATGGAACGTGTTGTGTGAAAATGATTGCATCCAAAAACTAGCCAAGATTAGTATTAAAGCGAAACTCAAAAATGATCAGTATTAAATCTTCTAAAAAAACACATCTGCGTAAATGTTTTTTTTCTCAATATGAATACAGATAAATTCGGACGGTTAATTGTCCAAAAGGTCGATTCTCGTAATAAATCTTCGTTCAAAATTGATAAAAGGTATTCTTAAGTCAACATCAGTAAACATCCAACGCTGACTATAACGACACGTGATAATATCGTATTGTGATCGAAAGTTGAATCGGTATTCTGCTCGTCTTAGTAATACTTTACTACGAGACGTTTTACGACGTCTGTGAGACGGGAACTGACTTACGAACGAATTTTCATCACGGAAATTGACCTTCAGGTAGTGGTATCGTCTCCACACAACACGGTTCAAATAAGCTTGTAAATTGTATGCCAAAAACATATTAATTTGTTCCAGGTCTTGCCCGTTGTAATGCTAAGTATGGCGAATACGGAAGTCACGGTAACGTGGCGACAGAGCTGCAGGCGTACGCCAATCTACACCTGGAACGGTCTTACGAATACCTGCTGTCTTCCGCGTACTACAACAATTATCAGACCAACAGAGCTGGCTTCAGCAAGCTCTTCAAGAAGTTATCTGATGACGCGTGGGAGAAGACCATTGATATTATCAAGCATGTCACTCTGAGAGGTATGGACCTCCCTTGAACCTTTTTTATGGCATACGAGGTAAATGACTACCCCTGGACGCCGACCGTAACTTACTTGTAACTCTTGAGTTACAACTCAAAAGTTACAAGTAAGTTACTTAGACTGCCCTTCCCCAAAATCAGAGCCCCCCCCTCTCTCCCCTGATTCTGAGGGGCTCAGAGGCTCATTCAGGTTCAGAGGTTGGGCTCAGGTAACCTCACTTACTCTGCGAAAAGGTGAAAATCGACTTAAAGAAAATGGGGAGTTTACCATTTGGGTGTATTTTATTTTTATATCCTCAGAACTCCGATATTTATGAACCCATAATGATTTCGTTTTTCTATTTTAGGCAGATATACCGCCTGTTTTCTATGTGAGTTGGTAGATAAAATACTGCCAGGAGTGGAATAATTATGATATAAAATATTTTTACCTATTATTTCAGTCAGTTTCTTTAGTGTTTTTTTTGTTAAATTTGATTTTCATTAATCTTATTTAACATTCGAATTATTATTATATTGTTATAGGTGACGAAATGGATTTCTCAAGGCAAAGTATCCAGAAATCGATCCGCAAGAACTACACTGTGGAACTCCACGAGTTGGAGGCTCTCGCTAAGGCTCTGGACACGCAGAAGGAGCTGGCCGAGCGCGCGTTTTACATCCATCGCGAAGCCACCAGGAATAGCCAGCACCTCCACGACCCTGAGGTGAGAAGACGTTCGCTTTACAAACTGTACATAAAAAAATACTTGCCCTAAATGATTCATCAACGCAGTCTAAACCGCTGTGGCTGCAAACTTGAAATGTTGCAAGACCTCACTAATAAAAGATTTTTGAAAATTTGACCCTAAGGTGTTATAAGGAGTATCAGGGTTTTCCTTCCTAGGGTACACCTGGTTCCCCGGCAACTGGTACCCGAGACGGCGTGCGGTTTTTGGTCGGTTTGAATCCGATATAACGACCGGTGGGTGGTATCCGAGGGGATTTCCGCACAGAAAAAAAAGGGGTTATAAGGGATGAATGGTTGTATGGAAGTTCGTCATTTTTCAAAATAGAAAGCTTGATAATAATTATGTAAACTTATCTTAATGAATAAACAGTTTTAGATCCAAACTAAAATGTATAAAATGTTCCATTTAGTGTATACACAAATGCAGTTTTTATTTGATTATAGATAGTTCAACTCAGTTGTGCGCGCGGCCCTATGTGTGCGTGGGCTTGTAAATATACAACTTTCATTCGTGTGGCAGTGACGCGGCAGTCGTCGTCCGAGCAGCACACAGTTGTCACAGCAACTGAGTTGAACTATCTATAGTTTAGTAGATTAGGAAAATAAAAACAGGATTTTAATAGATATAGAAGAAAGATCATTTTTAAGTTTTTAATTTTAACTATAATTTTTTTAACAGCACAACATTGTTTTGTATTTTTTTTTTTTGGTAAAAAAGGCATCACTTTCTGAACGATATATGTTTACAGATCGCTCAATATCTGGAAGAAGAATTCATTGAATACCAGGCGAAGAATATCCGCGACCTTGCTGGACACACCAATGACCTCAAGAAATTCGTCGCCTCCAACAACGGACAAGACCTGTCCCTTGGTCTTTACTTGTTCGACGAATATTTGCAGAAAACCCTCTAAATATACATTTACAGCTTGAAATCATAGACATAGCTGTTTTATTTTTCTGTGATGTTTTTTTTATTCCGGCAAAAATTGGAGTCATTCAATTACTGATTCTAAATTTGAATTTCTTACTAACTCCATAGAAATTATTGAAAGTTTTTAAGACACCATTGCAAACTTTCTAGAGAAAAAAACGTCATCTAGATGTTACTAGAAATATTTAAATAAAGAATAAAACAGCTTTCCTTTATTCACAAATTACTCCACTAAATATCCTTTTTTATTATCATTAATTAACGCATTTTGTACAAATTAGGCTGTTATGATTGTGATTTCCCCCATTTATATTGTAAGCGATATAATATCTATAATTAAGTATAACAAACATAGTTGTATTCAGTTATTTTCAATAAAAAGTTTGGTTATAATACAGTAATCGTTTATTTTATTTATATAAACTAGCTGGTGCCCGCGACTTCGTTCGCGTGGAATTTGAAAAGCCTGGTCCGGGAATACGAAGTCGAACTCACTAAGGCAGCTTAGTGAGTTCGACTTCGTATGCCCGGACCAGGTAAAATTTTATAGGGAGAAAATATAGCCTAAGTTAATTCTTATGTAAACTGCTACTTGGTAGAAATATTATCAAAATCAGTCCAGCCGTTTTGAAGATTACCTGAGCAAACAAACGAACAAAAATATTTAAACTGGTTTTTAGGCATAGGCATTAAAATTACTTACCTAAAATAGTTTTAGGTTCTAAACCGCTAGTTGTAACATAGTAACTAAAAAAAAAAATTTGTCGTTGCTTTGTATGCCGTTGAAGTGGGTGCGAGGGGTATACCAGCTAAAGCCCTCTATAACCTGCTTAAAGACCTTGGATTGCCAAGAGCTTCAGAAAGCTCTTTTCTTGAACGAATATCCAAAGGGGCATTGCTAGGCTCGTATCAAATATGGTTAGGTAGAGGGGGTATCACAGCAGACAGTGGAGATGAGCGCTGACACTTCGGAAGGAGTTTCCCTAAACCTATACCTGGGTCGCCGGCACCCGCATGGTGAATCCATGGAACGCTAAGAAATAGGTCTTGTAGTTTAACCTCACTCACTCGAGGAGCAACAAGAGTACTTAACACTGTGACGCCGAGGTATCTCCGATCAAGCCAGCCCATTTGTGAAGCATGGCTATCCCATGGAAGAATGTTATTCCAAGTTACGCAAAATAAATAGAGGTTTTGTGTGTGTGAGGATCACGGGTGTATTTCTCAGATAGCTTCTGTATACTTTTACGTTCCTCTTCTGAAAATCAGTATATCTTGACCCGTATCTGTGTGTTGTACATCACTACCTTAATAAGTATGTCGCATCACTAAGGCATGTAGCAGGATGTACATACTCGGGAATTGATTGCTCTGCTATCCGTCACACTGTCTAGTACCAATATTTGATACACTGATTATATGATAATAATAGGTCTTTACCTATGAAATTGCCGTTTTGTATGCAATAAGTGAAAGTACTTATTTTTTCAAACTTTTTTATTTCTGTTATTCGAAGTAATCACCCATGCAATCGACGCATCTTTGCCAACGCATTGGCAGTTTACTGATTGCCCTTCTTGTAAAAATCAGCTGGACGGGAGGCAACAAACTCTTCAAAGGCATTTTGTACTGCCTCTCGGGAATTGATTTTTTTACCCACTAAATTTTGGAAAAAGTAATAGTCGGTAGGTGCAAGGTCACCACCAAGAATACAATTCTGTGTACCTAATTTTTAAAGTATCATTATATTTAAAAAAATAGGTACACCTGCCAACCTGATGTCAGAACCGCGGGTGTATTGTAAACAAATATATATATATATATATATGTTGCTTAGTACACTGTTTAAGTAGATTTAGAACCTCTGTTGTACCTGCAGGAACAAGCATTAAATAAAATACGGGCAGTTTAGAAGTTACTATTTAATAAGAAGAAAATTAGGTGTATTTTTAATACGGAATTTCTGGATTCGATGCCAGATGACATTGTGTGCATACACAATAGTTAATTTAAGTTTAATTTGGAGGTTCTGGTTTCGATTCCCAATTTTTTTTTTTTTTATGAATTTGTAAAGAAAAAACAAAAACTCGACTTTTTAAAAACGTATTTTTTTACGTTATTGAATAACTAAAAAAGAAATGTTTAAACAAGCCTGTAACTCTTTTCCCTTTTACTTTAATCGTCATATTACGATAAAAATACTGCCTTAAATTTGAAAACCATTTATTATATAACTTTACTTATATACAATGAGCGGTCACTCCTCGCCGCTGGAGTCGGAGTGGGCCTCTCCCACGTCTGCTGTGAACTTGTACTCCTGGTCAGCCCCGAGGTACGCGTCCGACATGAAGTAGAGAGTGTACGTGTGACGACCAGCCACTCCACACACGAAGTCCAGTCTCACCTGGAAACGGATAATTTGGAAACTTTAATAACTAAATATTTTAATAAGAATACGGAAATTCACCATTACCATCACTATTCATCTCGTGGGTGTCGTAAGAGTCGACTAAGGGAGCAAACTACGCAGGACAACAGCACTACAAACCCCATACCAACCCGTCTGACCAGCGTGGTATAGTAGGACAAAACCTCCTTTCCAGGGAGAGGCCTATGTCCAGCAGTGGACTTCGATTAACATAGAATTAAAGGAACTTGTTGGTCTAGTGGTTAGTGACCCTCACTACTAAGTCAGAGGTCGTGGGTTCGATTTCCATCGTAGTCGTCATCGTAGTCGTGTCATGAGCAGGTCATTTGTTCTGTGTCTGGGTCAAAGTATGTTTATCAGCAGTCTGGTTACCATAGCACAGGCTCTGCCTAGTTTGGGATCAGACTTGTTTGAGATGTATTAAGTTATTATTACTGGCTTGAAACTTTCTAGGTATAACACGAATCAATTAACAAAATATATATCTAAGTACGTGGGTATGTATGTTCTAGAACCCACAGCAAAATTTTTTTTAAGGTGTAAGAGGGCAAGCAGACGGTTCACCCGATAGTAAGTCCGAAAGACACCAGCCATGGACACCTGTAACTTAAAATTAACAAGACCCCTCCTCCCCAGGAATCAGTTCGAAAAAACATTTGTTACTCGGTTCAGAGCAACGAAATCATTGTTTAACGGCGGTTTTCTGTGAGGCCGTGTTATCACATAGCTCTTCTATGGTTTTTTATGCCATGTGTGGGTCTAGATACTGTGTCATATTCCTAAGATTAAAATCTCACCTTAGCAGTCCTTGCAAGGGAAACCCTCTTGATGGAGAGCAGCGTGTTGGTCTTCGGGTCACCGATCACCACCCACCAGCCTTCTTCACGTTTCTGTTGCAAACAGATACATTATAATTAGTACAAAGCCGTTTTAACATAACCGACTACAAAAAAGGGAAGTAACACTTTAGATGAGTACATTGTAAGTTTAGGGTACGATGGGGCTGACATGATCTTATGTGTGATAAGCCTCTATCTACTTATGAAGTGAAAGTAAGTTTGTTCGTTACTTTTTCACTCCTAAACCACTGAACCGATTTAAAAATATTTATTTCATAAATGGAAAGCTATGTTATCAGCGCGTAACATAGGCTACTTTTACTGCGATAACCGAAAAACACGCAGAACCGCGGGCAAAACCTAGTATGCTATGAATGTGAGTTTGTTTGTTATGCCATAACGCCTATACCATTATACCGATTTAATAAATACTGTCACCAATGGACAGCTACATTATCAGCGAGTAACATAGGCCACTTTTACTTCGATAACCGACAAACCGGCAAAACCTAGTATTTTTATAAATTTGGACCAGATATGTTGATAAGATCTATGACAAAATTATAAGTTTAATAAGGTAATGTGCTTTTACAAATATTAATATTAATTAAACAATTACAATTTAAAAAAAATCTCCATATTTAAATAAAGTTTTAGTATCTTTTTAGAAAAAAAAACTTTATAGAAAATCCAATTTTATTAGAATTATGAGAAATAGTTTTTCATTGCAACTAGACACGTGATTTTTTTACTCAACGCAGATTCTGAATACAAATTAATAGGACAGTTAATTGGCGTCATAAGATGAATTGTTTTTCCTAGCACATATAATCGTCATCATGTTCAAACGTTTATAAAATTCTGAGTATTTCACTTACGGCATCAATTTCTTCAGCACCTAACCTATTTCACTTTCAGCACCAATAGGTAAATTAGTTAGGGTAATTTTGTTAGTCATTCAGCACATAATCACTGCTGACGGGATGTATATTTTTGTACAAAGTTCTTAAATAAAACTTGTCCATAAAAATCTGTAATTAATACTTATTATACACTTTGCTTTTGCCCGCGGCTCTGGAGTGTATGCCGTTATCGTGGTAAAAAGTAGCCTATTTATTTAATCAAGAATCAATATACCTCCATACCAAATTTCCTCAGAATCGCTACAGCGGCTATGATCTCCCATACAAACTTCCATCCTCTTTTCACACCCTTAAAGGACGATTTCTTGAACAAAAACTATCCTATGTCATTTTCCGGGACATCCTCTGTCCTTTTATACCAAATTTCATCTAAATCGGTTCAGCGGTTTAAGCGTGAAGAGGAACAGATAGACAGACACACTTTCGCATTTATAATATTATTATGGATTATACATATTACTAGAAACGTGTCGTCCCATATGGGGATCGAACCCACAACACTCAGCGTAGTAGGAAGCAGCTTAAACCACTACGCCATCCGTGCAGTCACTTTCATTTCCCCTAATAATGTCTTAGAAATAAAATGACAAAACTGTACTGCTATTTAATTTGACATTTGTTGTCTATTGTTTTACACAACAAGGTATAATGTTATCATTTCATTTTAAAGTTCACACTTTAACATCACTACATTAGTAAGTTATGTCACATCACTAAGGTACGTAGCACTATGTATAAACTAGAGTAGTCATTGTTCAGCTGTCTGTGTATTGTAAGTCTGTCTATGTAATACTCTAATTATACAACAAAATAATACCATAGAATAGTGCAAAGTTATAGAAGAATATAACTATAATTAGAACACTTGCCTGTGGGAAGAACGGTGCGATTACTGGCCCCACGATGTCGTCCTCCCTCTCCAGGGATACCTCCACTACGATAGGCTTGCCGGCGCGGAGACGGCGTTCGTTCTTTACCTACAACATAAACATTTGAGATAGATCTCTTTATTTGTACACCATTTATCAAGTAGTCATCATCATCAACAGCCTATAACAGTCCACTGCTGTCTCTCTTAGAAAGGAGGTTTTGGCCTACTATACCATACTGGCCAGACGGGTTGATATAGGGTTTGTTTCAAGTTTTCCTTCCCTCTGCAGCGCTGTTGTCCTCTTTTGAGTCTAAATGCGGAAACCGCAGCCCACAACGAATACCAAGTGCTGTTGTCCTGCGTAGTTTGCTCCCTCTTGATGAATAGGGATGGTGACACTCTGTATTGTTAATCCGTCACCGTATGGACAGTAACAACACAGTGTGTAAAATGTTTAAGGTTATTATTTGATTTATTTTCAAGGTTTGTATGCAGAAAGACTAAATGAGTTGTTTTGACGGTCCATTCTTATGAGCTTACCTCATAAGTGAGTTCCACATTCGGGTATCTGTTGCAGAACCTGGCTACGTCGGCCATTTCCGTGGGGGTGAGTTGCAGGAGCTTGGCGCGAGCGTTGTCTTCGAGCTCCATCACATCGAATACTGTCTCTACACCCTGCGAATGATATTAAAATAACATTAGATTTCACCCGCGATTAATATTTTGTTAATTTCAAAAAATATCTGTAAGATATTTATTGAAATCAATATTAATAAAAATAAAAGTTTACAAACGCTCACTATAATCAACTAGAAATCACTCGTTAACTGTTGTGTTATTTCGTTGTATGTTAATTTGCTGTGTCGTAAAACGACACTATGTCGAACGGCCAACACGCTCGCTTTTATAGAGCTATCGAATTTACTAGAAAGATCCCTAGTATTCGATAGTCCGTTCCAAACAAACAAGAATATTCCAGAATCAATCACGCGTTACTTGCAGCACCATCTAGCGCTGTAAGGATCAGAACTATGAACCACAATCTTAATAGATGTACTTTACTCGATACTAGATGGCGCTGTCCTCAACATTCCATCCTGGAACCATTTAATCCTATGGCGCAACAATATCAAATGACTTGCTCTGACTGAATGATTCATCAACGCAGAGCCTAATCCGCTAGGGATACAAACTGATGCTTTATATGTTGTAAGCACCAACATAAAAAAGGATTTTTGGAAATTCCACCCCCAACAAGGGGTAAAATAATGATTCAACGGTTGTATAGAAGTTCATCATTTTCAAATATAGAAACACGAAATAAGTAATAATCACGCCTGATAAAAATATAATAACGACCGACCTTCTCTGAGCAGCGCTGAACCAGTTCAGCGGTGAAGTGCGGCAATTGTCTCAGGTACGAGTCCTTAGCCCACATGGCCTGTGTCACCATCTGCGCCAGTTCCATGGCAGCCACCGCTGGAGACAGCCATCCTGAGCTGGATACCACGTCCACGCAGGCTTGAATGAGACGGATTGCCTGGGGGAAAAAAAAGGTTAATCTCGAGTCTAATTAAAAAGGAAAAATATCCGTTTCATCGTTCTGGTACTTTATCAGACCTTCATTAGCCTGCCTATGTATGTTTTTTTTTTGTATATATGTTATATAAATATTTATTTGTGTATTCGTCTATGTTTTTTTAAATAGCTTTATTAATTAAAATGTTATATTTATGAATATGGTCCGTGTGGTGACGGAGTAAGAATACAGTGTCACCACCCCTATTCATCTTGGGGGGTACTAAGGGAGCAAACTACGCAGAACAACAGCACTGCAGAAAGAAGGAAAACTTGACACAAACCCTATACCAACCCGTCAGGCCAGCGTGGTATAGTAGGCCAAAACCTACTTTCTAAGGAGAGGCCTATGTCCAGCAGTGGACTGTTAATGGCTGTTGTTGATGATGATTTATGAAGGTATAGTTCATAGCTTATATACTTTTTTTTTATTATACATGAGCACCTGTCATGTATACTGAACCATCTGAAGGTTGACTGGTAGATAAGGCCGTGTGGCATTAAGTCCGCCTCGTGCAAATTGTAATGCAGGCAGTGTAAATAAAAAAAATAAAAAAGTTGGACGCTTAAAAAGTTTATTGAAGAGTTCCACCATTTTCTTCCTGATTTCATCACCGAGTCATTGTTATCAAGCCTACGTGTTTAATTCTGCAAAACGAGCTACATAAGCTCAAATTCTAAGGGTTTTCTGGTTTGGGGGGAACACCGTTGTTCCCACACCCGAGGAGTTCATCTATGAGCTCGAGTCCGACATAACCATCCCACCAGTTGTGGGGTTGGGGGTTTTGCTGGTAGAACCTGAACAGTTTTACTTTTCAGCCCTTGGCACTAATAAAATCACCATTGTCAACCCTACTTTGTTTAGTTCGTGATAATGAACTATAATTGTCATAACTTGGCTTTTATAAAGAAAAAGAGTTACACCACACGACTGAAGTAAAATTGCTAGGCTATGAGAGAAAGAGAAAGAAAATATGTGCTCGCACCTCTCTCTTGCCCTTGCAGTAATATACGAAACGTAACTCTCTCTACGAGTATTTCTATACCTTATATCTAACTTATATCTCCCTCTCAACTTCTGTTCGTCTCGTTTGATCACACTTTTCGTAACGCTCGTTACGTATTCACCAACTTACTCCCCAAGTCTAGCGTACGTAAAGAAGTTTTATTTCAAAAAAATAATTTACTCGTAGATATTAAAATTGTATTCTTCATTGATCATTTCTTCAGAATAGCAGTGCAAAGAGAAGGAAAACTCGAATCAAACGTTATACCAATCCGTCTGGCTAGCGTGGTATAGTAGGTCAAAACTTCCTTTTTAAGAAGAGGTTTATGTTCAGCAGTAGACTATCAGAGGCTGTCGATGATGCCAGAGGTAGATTTCCATTAAGGTAAACGGTCGTTCTGTCTAATTTAAGATCAGGCAACTGTGTGTAAAATGTGTTAAGTTATAGGAATTAAATAAGCAGCAGAAGAGTTACCTTCGTCCACAGAAATAATTAAGAGAATCGAGTAGTAGCTGCCTCTAGCGACAGCACGTCGTACTTAATTGCAGGTACTTGGATAAATGACATTTATAGATTAAGTTCAGAGGTGAGTGTGGGTGCGGGGTACCTTGGTGAGCACGCGCGCGGTGTCGGCGTGCAGCTCGGCTGGCAGCTGCGTGCGCGAGAGGTGCGCCTGCAGCAGCACGTGCGCCTTCACGTGCGGGCAGTTGTAGCGCGCGCCCGCCGGCTTGTGCGGCACCCTAAACAACACAACTCACTTCAATATGGGGACATACATTAGAAAACACCGCCCGTGGGAGAGCCATGCTTCGGCACGAACGAGCCGGCTCGACCGGAGTGATACCACGGCCTCACAGAAAACCGGTGTTAAACAATTCTTTCGCTGCCTTTCACTGAGTGAGTGAGGTTAGCGAAGCCCAAATCCTCCCGCTGACTCGAACGGGACTCCAAGGGCAGCAACGCACTTGTGACTTTTGAGTTGCAGATGTCCATGGGCGGCGGTAGTGGCTTACTATTATTTGACCCGTCTGCTTGTTTGCTCCCTTATACCATAAAAAAACGGACGGCGTAGTGAATTAGATACTAACATGGAACGACACTTTGTGTGATCCACAAATTGTTGTTCTGAGTCTGGATGTTCTTTGTGTTCGTTTCATGTATGTTTGTAAAGTCCCCCGCGACACAGGATATATTCCTAATGTGGGAGTTGTCTTTCTATAAAATAAAAAGAAAAAAAGAGGGGAAGGACTACGCAAATGATACATCATTCTTACGACAAATTTTCAAAGTTGTACTTTGATTGTATAGCCCTCAAACAGCATCATATTTTATTAAATTGTGTTATTAAAAATATATAAGTAGAAAACTTATATAATTTAGCAACAAATATTCTAAATTAAAATCGTTCGAGTTCGTTTTGGCGACTTCGCTTATAACATGAAATTAAATCTGTAAAAAATTTTCCTTATAAATACATTATATATACTACTAATGTAATTATTTTTAAATCTCCAAATAATGTCATTTAACTAAGAGGGAGGGACACGTGACCGCGACAAAAATCAGCACTTTAAGGCTTAACCCAGATAAGCCTACTGTCCCATATGTAGGACGGTAGAAATAGAAAAATATTTCAACTTACGCACATATATGTTTAATGGTTTTGTAGTGACAAGCTAATGTGCTATTGAAATAGAAATTAAAAAGGTGCAGTTATAATATATTTGTTATCCATTATATAAATATTTCATTGAAAAGTGTATCTAAAAGTGCATTGCAGACATATGGGACAGTATGCTTATCTGGGTTAATATCTCAAAAACGGATACCTTAATCAAAATATTGTTTTCACAAATATTTATTACTTCTAAGAAACCTATCCAATAACACCTCCACTTCATGGGATGGATGAATGTATAAAATAACATCCCCACTTTAAAGGTATCTAAAAAAATATTTTTCAAGTTTGTATGTTACCACTTTTTCGGCGTGATTAGTATGTGTGTTGTAATAAACTATAAAGGTTCCGTTTTTGCCATTTTGGCTACGGAACCCTAAGAATTGTAAGAAATAAAGACAGCTCTCCTCTCTTACAGGGTAAATACAGGTTAGAACTCACTTAGAAGCCAATGATTTGATGATATTCTCCTCGCGATGTCTGATGCTGAGCTCGGAGTACTCCGCCGCCGAGGATATGATCTCCAACAGGCCTCGTATCTTCGTTTTGTTGGTTAAGGACAAGCTAAAGAGTTCTGTGAACAACATATATAACCTTTACATGATTTATGGTAAGGTACATGTCAATGTTCTGTTAATTTTTCGAGTTTACTAATTAAGAATCGATTTTCATATAAGCCGACTGGTATAAAAAAAGGGGTAAAATTTAGTGATCGAATGACCTCGTTACGTTTTTTATCGTGCGCAACTTTCACTGTTTAGTAATGGTAGTATGGAAGTATGGAAATATGGCAGTATGTTAGTGAGGAAGTATGGAAATATGGTAGTATTGCAAAATGGTAGTATGGTAGTATGGAAATATGGTAATATGGCAATATTTTTAGTAATACTTCCATATTTCCACACTATACAAAACCACCAAACCACATGTGTGTGTGTAACTTGTATACTTGTCTGCAGACGAATCGTTCTTAACGAGTAAACTCCAGTCGTACGTCAGAGTTGACAAACACATTTTTTTTATGACATAGACGGAAAAAGGAACAGAAGGCCAATTCTCGTAATAAAAGTTCGGTCAAAATTCAGTTTCCATTAACTCTCGATCGCGCAACTGTCGGTCACAATACGATATTATCACATTTAAGTGAACGTTGAATGTTTGATACTTAAACTTTGTTGAGCTATGAAATATTTACAGATCATACAAACATTTGGTGAGACCCGTGGAATCAAACCCGAGACCTAAGCACAGCAGTCGCATACGCTACCACTGCACCAGCGAGGCATTCAGTATCATTGCAATCGGCTCATGCAGGCCGAAGTATGCCACCTTTAAAAGTTCCAGTATTAAATCTTACCGATAGTTGTATAATTGATATAATAGTATGACGCGATCATGCCCAAGTTGAGAGGCTGCACATCCATGTCGTCTTCTATGGCGATACACTTGGACTGTTCAAGGTCTGTGAGGGTAGTCTCCACCAGCTCCGACAGGTGGTCCGACAGATGTCTGCGGAAAAACAAATTGGTATTTATCCTTTGCCTAAAACATATTCCATCTGTTGTGTTCCTCTTAAATAAACGTTGATCCTTCAATGAAACTCCGATCCGTATAGTGACGGATTAAGAATACAGGGTGTCACCACCCCTATTAATCCCGTGGGTGTCGTAAGAGCGTGTTTTTTTCGCTTGTGGCAGTAAACAGCTGATCTGAAATGCTCCCGCCTATTCTTTTTATTTAAATAGTATATTTTGTGTAAAATATTCTTTTAATACCAATTCCTCACTAAACAAATAAATAATACTTACATAAATAAAAATAGTTCATACGTGTTATTTTAGTTAAATAAACATAAGTTTGTAAATGACAGTAAGGTTATCAGTATGTCAGGAAAAACTAAAAAGTGTTTAAATGGTGCTTAGGATTTATTGTCATCGCTTTACAGGTATCGTTACCTGATTTAATTATTTTCTTCAATACGATTCAGGTAAAAGTGTTGCTTTTTCATATTACGCTCATACTGACACTATACCTCCTGATCATCCGGATGGTGATCCTTTAATAAAGGATTTGATGGTTCAGACACGTAATGCCTTGACACGTCAATTGGAATCCAAGCTTTAACTAACTTGGAGCGAACTGAAGGCAACTAAGGAGACGTGTGATGGGATGACAATCAAAGCCGAACTCTTTGAGATATTGAACGAGAATGAGAATATCAGAAACGTCTCTAATGCACGGTCGATATACTGTTTCTGTTAATGCCCGGAACAAGCTCAAGCTCCTTGTGCACAGCTTTGCAGCAGATGATTATGAGCAGGCCCTGAATAGGATTAGGAAGCTAGAACGCCAACTACACTAAGCAGAAGAAAGACTATCTAGAGTCGATGCTCATAACCACCACAAGTAGCCTAGCCTAGTAGCCTTTAAGCGGCGGTAGCGTACTGGTTAAGGCATTGGACTTGTGATTAAGAGGTCGCGAAAGAAGGAAAACCTGACACAAACCCTATACCAACCCGACTGGCCCAGCGTGGTATAGTAGGCCGAAACATCCTTTCTAAGGAGAGGCCTATGTCAAGCGGTGGACTATAAAAGGCTGTTGGTGATGATGAAGTAAAAATCTGTTTGCTAAACCTCACTTACCTGTGCGTGACTCCTTGTAGGTTATAATAGTTTGGATTCTGGGTAAGTCTTCTGTACAGGAAGGTCCAGGTCAGGTAGTCAACAGCGTCCTGCTTGTTCTCAATGGTTTTAGTGACGATCTCCGCGTTCATGTGGTCGTGGAGCCTGTGGTCCAGATGACTCTGTAAAGACAATTATTAGTTTAGAAAACTCTCAGAAATTTAAGGCATTTGGCAGAGGAACGCGAAGTCAAATCCAAGTTCCTATTTATTATTTTGTGTGACCGTTAGGAAGCGTTAATTTACTATGTGAAAAACTGGCGAATTTAAGTCCCACTCCTTTGGTGAGATATCGTGAGATTTTTGTAACGTGCATTTTTAATGTAAATTAATACATTTCGCAGCGCTATACGCGAGGCTACTTGAGTACATGTATCAGAGGCTACATGATCACATGTATTAATTTATCTACACAACATGAAACAACAGAACTTATCGGTTGCAATAATAAACGTCTATTCACAATACTTTTTAGATGGTATGTCCTGACACTTAACTTATTTCAAGCATGTTTTTCCTCGTTCAATGCTCGCGCAAAAATGATTGCATTTCTATTTTTAGCCTGTACAAGACCTAAACCAAGAATATGAAATGTCAATAGCGGTAGGTATACGACAACTTGTGCATTTAGTCATATTTATTTATTTATTTATTTAGATACATTCACAATATTTTACAGGAATATACTCCCAAGGCAATATTGCAAGCTTATAACTAATTATCTGATTGTCTAAGAACCTAAATTGTATAATTTTATAAATGATTTTAAACAAATTAATATAGATAGAAATAATGAATTAAAATTTTTTATATGTCAGAAATAACGCAAGCAACGCAATATAAATAAATCAAAGTCGTATAAAATTTTATGGGCCATTACCTTGCATACGAACACTGCGACATTTAAGCGTCGACGTTTATCAAGCGACGTCATTTTAGGACATGTATGAGAGAGAACGCATGAAAGGAACCACCTGCTGGTATTCTTTAGTCATAGTAGGTATGTGAACTGACCTCCAGCGGTAAACAGTCGTTGAGTAGCTTGGTGAAGAACGTCTTGTGATGAGCCACGCACATGAGCACTGCCACGGCGTGTTCATCGTCGAGGGGGCGGCAGGCTCGCCCCACCATCTGGAGGACTGTGCTGATGGGGTACTGCTCGTACGCGTGCAGTTTGCCGTTGTACCTGGTGTATAATGGAATAGATCATCACTACATTTAAACTAAAGAGTGATATTGAACTAGTTGTGGAATGTTGTGGAATGCATTCCATTAATTAAGTAGATGAAGAATGCAATCTATAATATTTTTATGTACGAATCTAATGGTTAGCGACCCTGACTGGTAAGCCAGAGGTCGTGGGTTCGATTCCCAGCCCGAAACAAATAATTGTGTGATTGGCACGGTCATTTCGTTTATTAATTTTCGTCCATTTGTTTAATGTCTTTATTTAATTTTCGTCCATTTGTTTTATGTCTCCGTGTAGTTTGTATGTTTAAATATATAAGTATGTTTATCAGTCTGGTTATGATAGTCTAGCCTAGACAGGGAACAAGACTGCCATGTGCCATTGACTGATGTTATTTATTAATTTTTTTATCTTACGTGTGAGTATCTGCGATGATGACAGTGTGAACGTGCGCGGCGAATGCGAAAGCAAGTTCAGCGGCCACCACGCATAGCTGCACGGCCCCGGACTCCACCAGCTGCTGGACCAGGCGCCGGTCGCTTCCCTCCACACCCTCGTGCAAGTATGCTACTCCCGCTGATAACGTCTCTTTTAACATCTGATCATCAAGAAAATATCGATTATTGCTAACGTAATTAAATTTGTTAGTTGTTGTTTTGCCTGATGGTCTAGAGTGACCCTGACTGCTAAGCCAGGAGTCGTGGGTTCGATTCCTACCCAAGACAAATATTGTGTGATTAGCACAGTCCTTTGTTATGTGTCTGGTTGTAATTAACGTATAATATTTATGTATTTCAAACTATATAAGTATATTTATCAGCAGTCTGGTTACCATAGAACATGCTCTGCCTAGTTTGGGATCAGACGGCAGTGTGTGAGATATAAGTACTATCAAAATTTAAAAATCAAAAGCGAATCAGAGCGACTGTGGGGTTGCCTACGTCTACCTACTATAACGGCTAATTGCCACATTTATTAGTGCAAGTGCAGGTGATTAGTGTTTAGTGATTAGGTGAAATGTGTAATGCGTGTAACGACGAATACTGTCTAGCTACTGCACTGAGTTAAAATACTAGCAGCCCGCTTAATACGAAATAAACGAAAAAAAAAACATGTCCAAACGTGTTTAGAGCAGGCACGCTGGACTACTCGCAAAAAATAGAATACTGGCCATATCTCGTGCTCTATAACATATTGTAATACCCGTGAAAAACTAATGTTGAAAAATTTACTGGATCTGGGAGGGGGCACCGCCTGAAAGTTGAAAGTTTCAGGCGGCGTCAAGCTCATAATTATGATCGTCGACGTCGACTTTTTTTATGGTATAAGGGGACAAACGAGCAGACGGGTCACCCTATGGTAAGCAACTACCGTCGCCCATGGACACCTACCACTCAAAAGTCACAAATGTCCCTCCCGCTCGAGTCAGCGGGATTTGTAAGAAAAAGGCGTCACACTACAAGTGAATTTATATATTTGTGAGTTTTTTTTAAGTCATTAATCTCAAACGCTCGGGGCTTACAGTGTATAGTACAAGTATTAATCATGGTGCAGTGTAAGAAATGTAACAAATTAAGAGGTAAAACCGAATTACGCTCAATCATTACAATAAGTTAACATACCTTATCTTGAACTCTCTTCAAGAACGGCTGGAGCATATCAGGTCTGGCCCTCAGGAATCTCGTAGGTCTACCGTTAGCAGCAGCCAGCGCTAGGAGATCAGCAGCCAGTAGACGAGAATGTCGCCGGGAGGGTACGAACACAGCACAAGGTTTGGTTCCCGCGTAGCGTAATACGGAATTGTAAATAGGCTTCGTCATTGCAGCGAGACGAGATGCTGCGTGGGAGATGTTGAAGCCCTGGAAAGAAGCGAATTAAAATAAAACACGAGTAGTTTGGTTTTACTACTAGCAGTATAAAGTAAAACTGTAATGTCCTGAATGTTGTTTCCTTTTAGTGTAATTTTTTGTATATCTTTCACATACCTGTATGTGAAGTTCCAAGGGCAATGGCCTGACGCTCGGGTGGAAGTTGAAGCAGGCGTTTGCGTTGCAACCCAACCACTGAGATACGTCACGAGCGTCCGCTAGAGGGAGCGACAGAGCCACGATACGAATCTGACGACCTGCAGAAGAAAATGAAAAATTATCTATAATTTCAATTACATCAATAAAAAGAATAGACTATTTCAAACGATTACTAACATCATCATCATCAACAGCCTTTAATAGTCCACTGCTGGACATAAGCCTCTCTTTAGAAAGGAGGTTTTGGCCTACTATACCATGCTGGCCAGACGGTTTGGTATAGGGTTTATGTCAAGCCTTCCTTCTATTTGCAGTTTTGTTGTCCGTAGTTTGCTCCCTTAGTCTGTTATTACGACACCAAAGGAGTGAATAGGGATGATGACACTCCGTATTCTTAATCCGTCACCACACGGATGATACAGACTAAATAATCTTGCTTATCAGACAACTATTTGTCCTGGATGGGAATCGAACCCACAACCTCTAATTGAACAGTCAGAATCGCTAACCACTAGACCAAAAACGGCCAGACAAGTTTTTATCCAGTAACTACAGGTCCTTACCAATTTGTGATGAAATATACCGCATCCTGGAGCACACCACCTCTAAGACGGGACCTTCTTCACCGCCCAGGAGTTGAAGAGCATCTACTATGAAGAGAGCGACACTTTGGACGCTCTTGCGGACTTTCCACCTGCACATTGAACATTTATATGTGATTTCTTTGTCAGCTGTAGACTGCTACTCAGCTTCAAAAGGAAAAAGTGTTTTTTACCCCATTTGTACCCCTATTTAATCCCTCGGACACCACCCACCGGACGAACAGTGAGGTGGTTATGTCGGACTCGGACTAAAAACCGACGCTGTCTTAGGTACCAGTAGCCGGGTAACCAGGTCTAACATAGAAACAAAATCTCTGGTACGCCATTTATACCCCCGTTTAAATAGGGAATTGTTTAGTTATATTTTATAATGTACGAACCTTCTAGATAATATGTCCCACTTGTCAGCTGTTGTGATTATAATCTGACCCTTGTTCAGTAGCTTATGATCCGTTGCTGTTTCACCGGTTAATTGAACAACCTGTGAGAGACATGGAAATATGTATTAAGAAATAATTATTTTCAAATTATAAAGTTTCAATGAGCAAGACTAAACAGACTCTATATGTTTATGAAATAACATTTAGTTCACAATACTATCCGACTCGAAGGACCATGTGGTGCAAGTGGTCCTTCGAGCCATATAATTTCGTATCAGTTTCACCTTGAGATGGAAGTTGTTGGTGAACTTGTGGTACCAGTCTGCGAAGACGATGTCAGCGAGCGCGTCCTTGGGCAACAGGTAGACGGCGCGGGCGGTCGGCGAGTGCGACAGCAGCCGCAGCAGCGCCAGTTCTGCGATCACAGACTTGCCGGAGCCGGACGGAGCGCCCACGAACACGTTGTCATCTGAGTTGTACACTGCGTTGAATACCTGGTGAATCAAAGTAAATATTTAAGTTTACACAATAAAAAAACTTGAATGTTTTTTTAAAAAGAAGTACAATTTTGTTTACGTATTTATATAAAATACATATATTTATAAATTATCTATTCTAGCTATTTTGATGAGGAGCTCATCCTATCCCAGTTTCTTATTTTTTAAGTAAGTATAATATAAGTTATGTTACCTGAGTCTGCACAGGATTGAACTGCGGGAAGGTCTCATTGTACAACTCCTCGTACTTTGGGTTCCGGAGAGCCGATATAGGCAACGGCTGGAGGTCCAGCAGTTCCGTCGGGGGCAGGTTCTTCTCGGGGAGAATGAGATGACGGAAGGAGACAGGCAGTTGAGTTTCGGCTGCTATCCATCTGAATAGTGATTTAAATTATAAATACAATGTTTCACTGTCGGTACTTTTTACTGTTGATATGCTTTTATTAGCTTCAATTGGAATAGTTTAAGCTGAGATCTTAAAAAAGTTCAATTTCTATAAAAACAACATGGATTAAAAGCGATTTCATAGTAAAGCATAACTGCACGGATGGCGTAGTGGTTAAGGAGGCCGCCTTAATCCCCATATGGAACAACACCGTATAATAATTAGATTATTATTGAGCAAAAAATACTTTTCCTCTTATTTTGTATTCTTTGAAAGCCTCCAACGGGGCATCATCTTACGGGGATTCATAATGAAGTATATCACTTCGTTGGAATCGACCCGACAAAAACTACACGGTGTTTATCACAGTTCTATTGTAAGGGGGTTGGGTATACAATAGAAAATCTCTGAGAACCTTGGTAGAGCTTGGCCTCCTTAGGCTGCCACGCTACAGCATCACAATTATTTCCAGTTTAGAGTGGCGGTTCTCTGGCCTGATTCTGTTAGGGAAGGCTGACCTCCCGACGCTAGTGCTTATGAAGGTCCATGACCATTTTTCGCCCTAAAAAAAGCCTTAAAAATCCGAAAACAAGATATCTACAGAACTTCAAAACCGTCTAGTACTTGGGTTGTGGGGTCTGATGGCAGTTGCTCCACGTAAAATATCTAAGTTCAGACAAGGAACAGGAAAGGACAGGAAAAAGGCTCGGAGAATTTATAAGAAACACTAACCTGTCAGACACAAGTCTAAGGAAGTACTGAGGAGGCAGAGGTTCGAAGACGGGCACGAAGAGCTTGACGTGATGTTCATCCCGACAGTACTTCTGTTTGAGGAGGAAGTATTCGTGGTGGAGGACCACTTCCGAGTCCACGTCCTCCACAAGGATCCAGAAGGCTTCTGATTGACCGTGAATCTGGAAAAGGGCGTTGTTTTATTGGTTGTTTATTACTATTACAGCAGAGCTTGTACTATGAAAGCTAGATTGACTGATAGAATGTACTTATTTTTATGTAAATGTACATAGAAACTCCGAAACAAATATTTGCAGGCCATACAAGCATTTTGTTCGACCCGGGTTTTGGAACCAACGACCTCAGCATAACAGTCGCATACGATACCACTCCACCACCGTGGCAGTCAAACTCCTTGTGTATAGTATTTTTTACGAATTATTTTATATTAGTTACATATTTTGCTATACTACATACAAAAATATTGGTTACCTTTTCATCCCAGTGAAAGTCAGGTGTGATGGTAAGCTCGACCCTCAGGGTGGACCGTGTGATGGGCTGGATGTGCGTGCTCAGCTCCAGCTTGGGGAACTGGTGCACGTATTTGTGTATCATTTTACCCAACTTCGGGGCTCGAACCAGCTCTCCAATCTCGTTCGGTCCCAGTTCATACAGTTTCTCCCATGGGAAGTTTTTCTTTTCAAGTTTTTTTATTACCTGTAAATTTTAGATTAAGTTTAATTTGTTCCACCTAATACATTCACATCTTAACGACTTTATCCTTAAAGGGGAAAACGAAACCACATCTTGTTAACTAAAATTCAGCGGCATGGGAACTTGGCAAAAGTAATAACATACGATAGCAAATTTTTAAGTGTTTCAAATTTTGTTCTTATTTTTTTATGGTATTGGGGAGCATATGGGTCACCTGATGGCAAGTGACTACCGTAACGGCCCGAGAGGGTTTCCACGTGCACAAAACAGGGTTGTCTACTGTAATTAAATATTATGTTACACTCACCTCTTCCGGCATTTTTCTAAATTGCCTAAGCGGCGACATGGACTGCCACATTCTTCTGTCCACCATCTTGCACAGAGCCAAAGTTTTGTCCACCAGCTGGGCCCAACCTACAAACGGAATTGTATTTAAGTATTTAGTAGAGTTAACAATGAATAATAAACTTTTTCAATTAACGATTTCAATGCACCTATAACATGACTAATTGTAATAAACTGTAATTTTCATTACTTCATTTTATATCTTTAGGGGTGGTATTTCGTCTTTAAGTTTGAATAATAATAATAACTTTACACATCACACACGGCCGTCTGATCCCAAACTAGGCAGAGCCTGTACTATGGTAACCAGACTGCTGATAAACATACTTATATATTTCTACATACATACATAGTATAGATAAATTACACCCAGACACAAAAGAAATGATCATGCTCATCACACAATTATTTGTCTCGAGTGATAATCGAACACATGACCTCCAGCTTAGCAGTCAGGGTCACGACCACTAAACTACACTGGAAGTCAACAAATAAAAAAACAAAGTTCAAAACTGAATGCTGTCAAGTACAAGTCTGTGGTTCTCACCTCTGTGCAGCACGATCTCGAAGATGGCCCTAAGCAGCCTGCAAGCAGACTGTGTGACATAGACCATGTCGGCCATGAGCGCGAAGCCCTCCAGCTTGAGCTGCGAGATGTACGCTTGGAGGAGCACATTGATCTTTGCTGATGGCTCTTCTATGCTTTCTTTTATAGGTATGGGGACCTGGGGACAGGAATTATTTTTTAATTACTTGTACTTTTATTTATTTAAAACTTAATGTACATGTTGTACAAAGATAGAGGCAAAAGCCATGAGGCATTCTCTCCCAGTTAATGAAGAAGGGAAGTTCAAGTCATGTAGAAATATAATGCTAATGGTGCCAAGATAAAATATTAAATTTATCATAGTTGATAATAGTTGGGTAAATCAAATCCGTTTTTTTGTTTGTTATGCTTCATGTCTAAACCACTAAACCGATTTTAAAAATTCTTTCAACAATGGAATGCTACATTATCAGCAAGTAACATTAACATTACCATTATTATTATTAACATTACCAGCAAACAAACTCGCATTTATAATATTAGGTAAACATCTCACATACCCTCTCCATAAGCTTGGACAGCTCCAACTTCTCCTCCTCGCGAACAGCTATATGCTTGAACTCAGCAGACAGTGAGAATACCCTGAAGATCTCTATCTCCCCGAGGCTCGGCTTCAGCAGCTGGTTATAGCACTGCATCGTCTCGTACGTGCAGTAGAAGTGGGACGCGATGCGACCCAACTCCGTCGGCTGGAAGTGGCCGGACTTACGCTCGTATTTGATGAGACCAGCCCTGGATTTAAAAGAAAACTATTAGATAAAGGACTACTGATAGAAATTATTGCTACTTTTAAATCATAATACTTAATGAAGTGACTGGTTTTAGTCACTAGATTTCACCTGTGATAAATATATACTGGGATTTTGTAAACAAAGACAACTTCCACCAAAAACTTAAGCAACTTAAATTTCTTTTTATAAAATACTACAACCTTAAGATATAGACTTTCGAGAGCCTGACGTCAGCGTTATTATAATCATTAGTCGCACTGGTATTGTAAATTAGTTGAAGGTGTGATTATTTGATTTTAAAACAGGTGGTTGTGATTATATTTCATCCCTACCACTGACCCCATAATTCAAGAGGGATGGGTGAACCTCTGGTAACGTCACTGACTTGGTGCAAAGCTACGAAAGAGTTGGTTTTCTGTGAAGCCGTTGTATCAATCCGACCCTCATGAGCTAGTGATGGAATAAAATCACTATCATCAGTGATAAACCATATTTATAAATCATATAATCACACCTGTGACTAATTAAAAAACCACTGTGACTTATTATTGTGACAAAAAGAATTTTGATTGATTTGATGGCATTTACCTTTGTCTATGACACAATCACAGGTAAAATGATTGTGACTAAAATCAATAATTTCATCATATGAATTTGATAATTATGTCTATGTGCTGAAGCAGATCTTCACCCCCCCCCCCCTCCGGATACCCATGGATAAACATCACCAGCTCATGCACCAACAATATCCTTTTATATACCCGACGTTTCGATCAAATTCATTAGTCAGTAGATTTCCGATTTCCACATCTAAAGAATACTAGTAATACATACTTGTCTAACAGACTGGCGGCTGTGTGTATGAGGTCAGCCCGATGGAGCTCCAAGAGATTGTCTTCTTGCAGCTTCTCGGCGGTGACGCCGTACAGCTGCGGCTGGCGGAGCATGCGGATGTACAGGTACGTGTAACCTGTGGAGGGAGATATTGTGAGATCAATTGACTGTAACTTTAGAGCTCGTGGGTTTGATGCCCGCTCAGTGAATTTTGTTTTGTTTGCATAAAAGAACGTATCCATAATACATGACTAATTTTTTAAATAGTATTTGCCAAGAAACCTCTAGTTTTCGCTAATAATTCAAAAATATAGTTTTTGATTTTTTTTGTTGTAAACAGAGCGTTAAAAATAATGGAGTAGTTTTCATATACCCAGTGTCACTCTCACAATCAAGACGAATCTAACGACACCTCAAACGCAAAAACCCATAAAGTGCTAAAGAAATAACTCTCCTAAATACACTCAAGAAACATAGCCTTCCTTCTGACACAGTCGTTTAAAAAGAGATATAGAAGCAGTGGAGAAAATAGTACTTTTTTTCTGTTAATATATAGCTTAGCACTCAAATGTGAACCATAACTTCAAAATCAGGGATTCCCAAACTATTTCGGGCAAGAGGCCCCTTTTCTAAAAAAAAATAATACGTCAGACCTCCATATTAAATTACTGCACGCTTATAAACTTAACTTTTTAAAAGTACAACAATGATACTTTCTGCTAAAGTTTCAGTCATTTTTATAACAAGTTGGTACACTTAAAAGTTTCAAACAAGAACTTGTGTTAATTAATAGTGCAGATTTCGAGATCTCGTCGACCCCCAAATTCAGTTTTCGTTTATGCATCGACCCCTGGGGAACCGATTTTGACCGCGAAGGATCGATATCAACCACTTTGGGAATCCCTGTCATAAATGTTTTCAAAAACTCACCGAGCCATGTGACTGCGTCCCTGACGGACTGCACAGAGCCGAGGACTATCTCCGCGTTTAGCATGTCCGGCAGCTTGCTCACCATCTGAGACTCTATCGGCAACTGCTGGTTCAGGAGAGACAGGTAGTACTGCAGCTCCGAGTGGTTGGTTATCAGGATACCTGGACGAGAAAATGTAAATTAACGGTCTTGGGTGAAGCTTTCATATTGCTGAAAAGGCTTAGTAGCAGAGGCGCTACTTGCATCTTCAGCACCGTTTTTGGGACCGGAATGACAGGATAAAATAGGCTAATACTACAGGGTGTTCCATACTGTGCTATATATAAGAGACAATGGTTGCGGTTGTGGCTGCCTCCAATTTATTTATTTTTTTTTAAAAAGACAACTCCCGCATTAGGAATATATCCTGTGTCGCGGGGGACTTTACAAACATACATGAAACGGACACAAAGAACACCCAGACTCAGAACAACAATTTGTGGATCACACAAAGTGTCGTCCCGTGTGGGGTTTGAACCCACAACACTCGGCGTGGTAGGAAGCGGCGTGGCGACCGCTTAAACCACTACGCCGCTGGACATTCGCCTCTAGTTGGAAAAACGTTTTGGCCTATTATAATAAACTGGCCAAACGAGTTGGTATAAGGTTTGAGTCAAGTTTTCCTTCTCTTTGCAGCGCTGTTGTTCTCGCTGTTGACTCTTACGACACAAACGGTGGTAGGGGTGGTGACACTCCGTATTTTAAACCCTCACCATACATACGGCTTATTATAATTGGTTCTAATCTTAACCAGCGAACGAGCATGGCTCTACCATAGAGCATAAAGGTACAACTGAAAATATATGTGTATTTATTAAAGATATACTCACATGTCTATTACGGGAATGCCCTTCTACTTTCGGACCCGACAGGGAATCTTAATCAAGGAGCGAAGCGACCTGCAGCGACCTGTCAGGCGCCACATATCACAAGAATAAATATGAACATCACTTACGCAAGTTTTTATTCAAATGGTTAATATTACCTTCGCCTTTTGTGTCGTATTGTGGACGTCCAGCTCTCCCCAACATCTGCAGTACGTCCAGAGCCCCCAGCTCGCTCCAGCGCCCCTTCTCTGGGGAGTATACCTGCGTGCCCTTCACTATCACCGTGTGGGCTGGCAGGTTCACTCCCCACGCCAAGGTCGCGGTTGATACCAGAACCTGTATGCAATAGACGAAGTATTTTTAAAGATTTTTTTATGTTTTCGGGGGTAAAAGAGTAGACCGTAGTAGAGTAGGTATGTTAGAACTGGTATAAACCAAACAATGTAAATTGTCATAGTTTTCTAAATAGCTCACTAGTTGGAGCTACTGTCTATGCCTTGATTATGTTATTCTGTTCGGTCGTATAATACTCACTCTTGTGTATAATAAAATCAATCAATAAATCTCAGTATACCAATTTAATCTATTGTTATTTTAGCCCAATCCCATCAGAGTAGACTTATAAGTGACTTAGAAGTAAGACCATAAGTGACTTCAGCCACTCAAGAGACACTACTGCGTTGACGACCTTTCAATCCCCTACCAGAATTAGAGTAGGGTGTTGAACCTCCAGTATCATTTCCACGAAAGATTACCTTTTTTTTTTATTGACACAAAAAGTACAGTTCGGTGTTAGCTATAAAACGTCACAAAAACCCAAACAGGTTTGTCTGGACGTTGAAACACTAACATTAACAGCGATTTTCTATGAAACCGTGGTATCAGTCCGGTCGAGCCGACCCATATATGCTAGAGGTTAATTATTTGAATCTAAGTAACAAACAAAACAAGCCCGTATGTAACTACCTGTATATGTCTATCAGCGAACAGATCTTCCACCAGGGTCCTGTCCACTCTGGACATTCCAGCGTGATGGATGGCAAAGCCGTATGGTAGGAGCTCACGGAGTTCAGGGTTCTTCACCTGTTCCGCTTCTGTGCGGAGGACTTCCATACTCGCTGAGCCTTCTCTGTTGAGGTTGAAAAGATTAAGTTTTATATGTCACTGTTCGGTGGATTAATAACTGGATAACCCAGGTTTAATAACTGTGTGATAGCCACGATCATTTGTTCTGTCTGGGTGGAGTTATCTATATGTATGTATTTCTATACAAATAAATAAAATTGGAGTGTCTGTTTGTAATATTAAAATAACCGCTTTTTACTAAATGCATATGTATGTTTACATGGTACATATGCCAAAATAACATTTTTTACAATTTTTGTCTGTCTGTCTGTCTGTCTGTTTGTTCCGGATCTCTGGAACGGCTGGACCGATTTCGACGGGACTTTCACTGGCAGATAGCTGATGACATAAGGAGTAACTTAGGCAACTTTTTTTTAGACTAGCTTCGCCCCACGGCGTTGAGCGCGGTTATAACAACAAACGCGGGTAACACCGCGGGTCGCAGCTAGCTTAGAAAAATTTCTAAGGAAGAGGAGGATATATCTAAGGAGAGGCTTATGTCCAGCAGTGGACTATTAAAGGCTGTTGATGATGATGATGAAGTATGTTTATCAACAGTTTGGTTATAATATCACAGGTTCTGGCTAGTTTTGGATTAGACAGCCATGTGTGAGATGTGTCAAGGTATTATTATTATTTATTAATATCCTGACCTTTTCCTACTTCTCTCTATGGTAAGATTTTTTTTATATCTTTTATGGCTTGGCGCCATCCTGACGTTAACTGTTCTTGGGAGTGTCATAGTTTTGAGACTGGATATTAAAGAAGGTAAATTAAGACAAGGAAAACGGACGGGACGAAGGAGCTAGTGTAACGGATAAAGCAAGTATCTTTCTTTCTTTAATTTAATTTAGTTTAATTTCTTCCTGGGACTTCCCGAGTGTCAAAACTCAGTGTTCGTGGGTCACTGCTGTGGATCCTGGTGTACAGGAGTTACAGTGGTGGGCGTATAGGTGGGATTAGTCCCAATTAAAAAAAAGGCAAGACTGCGAAGGTCTCTCGAAACATTCAGAGTAGCGTAGTTAAGGAATGGGTGTCATGTCCCACCAACGCAAAGGGAGAATCCAAAGACCCGCGGCCCAATGGTTGATGTTGTGAAGTTGTGTTGTTGTGATACTAAACAGCGTGAGAACTTTCATTGCGTGGGTCAGGGTTCATAGTTAATTTATTCAGAAACAATAATGTAATTGTGTTTGAATGTATAACAAAACGCCATAATACAAGTTAGTAGTTACCTATGGAGTAAGATGTGTCTTTGTTAGATGACACTGAAGATGTTTTTGTTTAATAATATGTGGGACTCGCCACAGAGAGACTACCAGGTCAGGGACAACAAAGGACAAACAGGTTTTAGTTATAATATAAATTATATAATTAATATATTGTGCTAACCTTAAGAACTGTCCAAGGGTATCTTTCTCCAAGCACATGTCTCGTATAGCGCGCGCTGTCTTGCCCGTTTCTTTACGGGAGTGTACGAACACCAAGATCTGGAAAGAAAAACAACGTAAAGACATGTTTTCTTATTATTATTTCTTATTTAGTACTTTGTGCAAAATAATTATACGTGAAGGCGAGGGTTTATAGCTAAAAGGCGAGGGTTTATAGCTAAAAGGCAAAAAGTTTTCTCTATCCTTACCTTACCTTACCTTAAGAATGAGGTAGAAAGGAATAAATTGGGAACATTAAAGTACCATAGATGGAGAGTATTATGGTGCAGAATATATAAATATATATATAAGCAAGTAGGTGCTTAATATATAAAGTTTTATAGTTGTTTATGTAAAGGAAGGTTATATGAATAAAAATAATAATTTGAAACAAGTATGTAAAAACAGATAAGTAATAAATACATTTTGTCCTGTTTAGAATTTTCACGAGAATTTTGTACCCATATAGTCTGTATAACCATATACACATAGATACATTAATTATATACATATATTTTACCTGATTCCTTCCAGCATGTTCCATAGTTTTCTCATAGACAATGTCGTTCATCACTTGAAATCTTTTCAGGGCCTTCTTCTCAGTTACACCTATATATTGCTGTTCTAAGGCAACAGGCCTGTGAAAAAAAATTCATGAAAAAAACTCTTTTGTAAATACTGATTATATTCTAGCTGGTAAAACATTTTTAAATAATTTAAATTTATATAACATTTTAATTCAAAGTTAATAGTATGTTAAAAAGAAATCACAAACACTATAATCGAATGAATGTTATTAAAAAATGAAAAAGGAATGAATGACCGAGTGAATTATAAAGTTATTGCTCACCTGAATGAGTTGTCGAAGTAAAACAGTCCATGTTCCGGCCTCACCCTAAGGAATGCGGCCACATCTGTGTAGTTGGGAAGTGTGGCAGACAGGCCCACTAGACGAACCTGTTAAAACCATAATCATTATATATAGGGTGTAGTCATATTTCACGTACATGAGTACGTGACGACTTTCGCCCCAAGGGGTAGGTAGAGACGTATTAAACGCCTACAATCACCAACTATACTTTTAGTCCCACTTAGGGGGCAAGCTTATTGCCGTCAACCGGGGACATATATTTCTAAACCATCATCAGCAGCTTTCAATAGTCCACTGCTGGACATAGGCCCCTCCTTAGAAAGAAGGTTTTGGCCTACTATACCACGCTGGCCAGACGGGTTCGTATAGGGTTTGTGTCGAGTTTTCCTTCTCTTGCAGTGCTGTTGTTGTGCATAGTTTACTGCCTTAGAGAGAGAGAGAGAGAGAGAGAGAGAGAGAGAGAGAGAGAGAGAGAGAGAAAAGGAAAGGAGAGGAGGAGAGAAAGAGAGAGAGTGAGAAAAAGAGAGACAAAGAAAGAGTAGCAAGGCAAAACCTAAGTACATCAAAAAACTCAAACGTTTTTACATATGTAAAATCCTTTATACTTTTTACATTTAAGCAATAAAATTTAAGTTAAGTGCCTTAAACATGAGTTACCTTCTCCTGAGTCTGCTCCACTGTCCGTAAAGTCCTGGCAACTAGGGCTTCCAGAACCGGTCCTCGCTCGTCGTGAAGTAAGTGGACTTCGTCAATAATGATCAAACGGACCAGGTTCGTGAAGGAACGTTCTCCTCCTAGTCAAAGAAAAAAAAAAATTTACTATTACTTGTTTTTGTTATATAACTCGTAATATCTCGTTTAAATTAGGGACCACCATCAAAGTAACAGTATACCAAATTTCAGATCAATCGGACCTGTGGATTTTAGTAAGATCCCTTCATCACCTAGGAAGTGAGCTGATGATCTTCAAAATCAATAGCTAAGATTCATCTCGATCACATCAGATTTCAAACGAAAAAATCCGTATCGAAATTGGTCCATCCGTTCGGGAGCCATGATACCACAGACAGACAGACGGATACACAGACATACAGGTTAAACTTATAACACCCAAAGTTTTCCGTCGGGGTTAACCTACCCATATGACGGCTAACTCTAGTACATTGGTTAATACAAGTGGCTTCTGATAGCTGAATGGAGCCCATTAATAAAATCGAAGTTCAGCCGTGTCATAGTTTTTAAAAGACAATCCTCGCATTAGGAATATATCCTGTGTCGCGGGGGACTTTACACTTTACACTCAGAGCAAATTTGTAGATCACACAAAGTGTAGTCCCATGCGGAGGGTCGGACCCACAACACTCAGCGTAGTCGGAAGCGGTGAGGTGACCGCTTAAGCCGCTACGCCATCCGTGCAGGCCGTGGAGTTTGGATAAAGGCGCAGAGGATGATGGTAGCTATTATACAAAAATAAATATTAACTAACCTTTTCTGGTGATAATATCCCACTTTTCAGGAGTGCAAACTATGAGTTGTGTAGCTTCAATCTGTTCCCTGGTCAACTGATGGTCACCCGTCAATTCTGACACCTTCATGTTGTATGCAGCCAGACGCTTGCTGAAATTGCCCACCTGTGGGTGAGGTTTAATTAAATAAATTATAGAATATGTACGTAAAAATATCTGACCCGGCGAACTTCGTACCGCCTTAGAATTAATAAATTAGATGACAAATTTGGTGATATATCGACAGCAGCCTATAGGGTCCAATTGTGTTTTCAAAACATCCAGGAACCTATTGAAATTTACACACAAAATTTCACCCAAATCGTTCTAGCCGTTTAGGAGGAGTTAGTTACAAACACACGTACAGAAGAATTATATTTATTAAGATAATTATGGCTTATGACTGGTCCGTTTGTATGGTCTTGACTGCTAAGTCAGTGGTTGTACGATTATTACGATTATTTTTCGTGTTTGATTCTAGTTTACATCTATAGTATGTATGTATTAAGAAATATATAAGTATGTTTAACAGAAGTATGGTTACCATAGTACAGGCTCATGTATATCAGAATGCAATAGGGTGTTTTACTCTATACGAATAAAATCTAAAAATATTATATTATCTTAGGCAAAATATTGAAAATATTAGTTTTGACTCATAAAATATCTTTTTTTTTACTCAATTAAATATCGCCCAGTACTGATAAGGACACAGAGCTTCTGCCTTTGATTTTTATTGAGAACTTTGATATTGTAAAATTTGAATGCATTTTTATGGCACTTACTAATTAAATAGTAGTAGTTTACCAGCACTATAGAATCTAATTGGGACACTAAAAATAAGGGTGTAATACCCTATTATAATTAAGGCGATGCTGCAGATTATTTTCTTTGATTAGGACAAAAAGGATTATGTAAACTCATGCTGCGCTTAAATGGAGGGGAGTAGTCACTATAGTCACAAATGAAACAGCATGGACTCTAGAAAGTTTGTGTGGGTAAGCGCTCACCATCTCCTGCACGAGCGACCTCATGGGCGCGACGTAGATCATCTTGAAGTCGTTGACGTTGACGGTGCCGTCGTCGTTGACGTGCTTGCCCACCTCGCGCAGGATGCACAGCAGCGCCACGTTGGTCTTGCCCGCGCCGGTCGGGGCGCACACCAGTAAGTTCTCGTCCGTCTCCAGCGCCGCCTTCGATATACGACTCTGGGGGGAATAGGAAAATAATTATTGTATATGACGTTACGTACGTTATTAGTATAGTCACACCTCCCTCCCCTACCCTGAGCATAGAATCAGGGCCTCAATACTGCTATTTTATGTTCACGCCAAGCCACTATCATACCACTGACACGCTATGGAGATGCCATCGAGTGGCCATTGGCATCGGTATAAATAGCGGTAGTCTACACTAACTCAGTGTCTTTACAGTGGCGATGGAATAGCAGTGGCTCATCAGTGGTGATATCAAAAAGATTGCCATATTTGGAATATAAAAAAATAATTTCCTCAAAAAAACGTAAAATATTTTCAAATGATAAGGAAATCATTTATTTATTTTTCCAAATATGGCAATCTTTTTGATATCACCACTGATGAGAGCCAGTTAGCAGTTTGTTTGTTACATTTTTAATGGTTTAGGGGGTCAAACGAGCAGAGAGAGCTGCACAAGTCCCTCCCCTTGAGAATGATCCCCCTACTTGGTAAAATTCTCCACGCCTTAACTTATACTTATTTCCGTAATATATTATTGTCAGATTATATAACATAACTAGCTGACCCGCGCAACTTCGTCTGCGTCTCTCAATAGTAATAAATTTTCTCCGTTTTTGAAACATTCTTCATTGGTGCTCCGCTCCTATTGGTCTTAGCGTGATGATATATAGCCTTCCTCGATAAATGGGCTATCTAACACCGAAAGATTTTTTCAAATCGGACCAGTAGTTCCTGAGATTAGCGCGTTCAAACAAACAAACAAACAAACAAACAAACTCTTCAGCTTTATAATATTAGTATAGATAATACTTAATAGCGTAGTGGTTTAGGCGGTCCCATCGCAGCTTCCTACTGCGCTAAGTGTTGTGGGTTCGATCCCCACATGGGACATCACTTTGTGTGATTCACAAACTGTTCTGGGTGTTCTTTGTGTCCGTTTCATGTATGTTTGTAATGTCCCCGCGACACAGGAATATATATTCCTAGTGCGGAAGTTGTCTTCTCTTTTAAATAAATAAAGAACATTTATCAGGACTCACTTGTATTCTATTCAAGTTCTTGAACCCCTCGAAAGCTGGCTGCACGTATTTAGGAAGTTTCTCCACAGGCACCAGGGTCTCGTTTTCATCGAAAGGCTTAGGCTTCAGAGCTGGAACGTGGACTTCTTCATAACCTGACGGAAACGAGAATTTAAATATGTAAGTAGAGCACAGCAGATTTTAACTCGAATTAGAGCTACCGGGATCATATAGTATTGCTAAAGCACAGTCGCGTTTCTGCTAATGCTAAATGCTAATTATTGAACAGACGTCGTAACATTTAGTGTTACGTTATTTTTTTAATTGTAAAGGTTGGGGCGGACAACGTGCGAAATGGACCGCGACGCAGACTAACCGGTTGAAATGTACTTACACCAGCGCCAACACACGGAAAACGAAATACCTGGTCAAGTTTACATGCGTGTGTCACTCCGGTAAGTATATTATTATATGTTTACATGTGTGTGAATAATAAATAACCCGTTCCTTCACTCAAAGACGCGCAATTTATTGTTGTTTCAAAATATTTTTTTATATTTCTCTACTAATCTATACATATAAAATTACTTTGGACCGCTGAGATTACAAACTTGAAATTTAAGCTGCTGATGTGAAGGATTTTTAGAAATCACACCCTTAAGGTAGGGTAAAATAAGGGGGTGGACGGGATGGGTTCTCCCCTCCACCCGCATTAGTTGGCCAGCCGCGACGGGGCGGCGTCCGCGTGTGCCGGACGTCGCCTAAAGAGAGGAAAGTTTTGAGACAGAGCCCGCAACAGGAGCGGGCCGGCGCTGGGAGGGGTCCAGAAGGCGATAACTACCTGGACCCCTCCTAAACTGGAAGCGCAAAGAGGGCACACCGTGTGGTTTTAGTCGGTTCGAGTCCGACACACCGCCCCGCCGAACGAGGGTCCCGGCGGGGTGACGGTCCGAGGGGATTTCCACACGTAAAAAAAAAAAGGGTAAAATAAGGTATAAAAGCGTGTAGTTCATACAATTCACAGGTACTTAGTAATACTGAACAATATATAGGTATTTTCATTGCCTGTGTCTACGGTAATAACTGGTATATTTGAATCTGACTACGAGACATCGTCGTTCCGTCCCGCCCCCTGTCTGACTACGCCTTTAAGACTAAACAATAAAAGCGAATGAAAACTTTAGCAACTTAGGACGTCACGGCGTTTTTATTAAGATAAACTAGGTATAGTGGTTAGTGACCTTGACTACTAAGCATCGAGGGTTCGATTCCCATCCAGAATAAATATTTGTGTGATGATCATTTGTTCTGTCTGGGTGTAATTTATCTATACAAATAATTAAAATTGAAGTGTCTGTTTGTAATGTCAAAATAATAGATTATTTACACGATACCTATGACTAAAAACCAGTTTAAATATTTTTGTCTGTCTGTCTGTCTGTTTGTTCCGGATAATCTTCAAAACGATTTTGATAATATTTTTCTACCAGGTAGCTGTGTATTTAAGGAGTAATTTAGGGTATTTTTCCTTGCATACCGTGTAGTAACACGTTACTTAGGCAGCGCTTTTCGAAGTCTTAGCTGGTGTCTATAATATGTATGTATTTAAAAATATGTATGTATTTAAGCATGTTCATCAGCAGTCTGGTTACCATAGTACAGGCTCTGCCTAGTTTGGGATCAGACGACCGTGTATAAGACGTGTGAGGTTAATATTATTATAAAGAAGAACTGAACTCACCCTTCCTCTGTTTTCTGAAGGATCCAGGTGGAAGCTGACAGCGTTTATTAGCCATGAAATGTGCTCCAGCCGCGAACATCAAATCTTCCAGTTGTAGAACCTTCCTAGAGCCAGTCACCTGCGCTTGCGCAGAACTCTGGCCTTCTGTCTTCTGACGTTTGCGAGGGGCTTCCGATTGTTGTGCAGTCTAAAGAAAAAAATGACGGTAAGGTATTATATCTTTGTGTATGTTTTAAGGTAAAAAGAGAGTACGGAGAATATCCTTCACATAATAATGAATATATTACAAACTTTGGCCAGAGGCAGTTCATCACGCCCGATGCTGATATTTTGTGTCACTAACCTCATCATCACCCTTCCCAGTTTCCAGCTGAGCCAAGATCTTCTGCAGATGTGGTTGTTTGGACATCTCTTCTCTGATAGAAGCCCGTTCGCTATCCGATTGTGATGACGCCAGTTTTGTGCAGTACAACACTGCGAAAAAAGAAATAGAACATTATGTAAACTACATTGATGTAATTTTATATCTAAACTAGACAAACCTAAATTATTCGCTGTAAACTTGCTATGTGTCATTGACAATTCCACATGATCAGTCTCAGAACAATTTGAGGATCAAACAAAATCTTGTTCCATGTGAGGATCGAACCCACAACACTTAGCACTAAGCCATCCGTGCAGTCAAGTATTAGTATCTTATATGTGTCAATAAAATATTATTTTTAAATAAATAAATGTACATAAGTAAAGTAGTTAAGGCATGGAGAATTTTAACGAGGAGGGGGAACATTCTGGATGGGAGGGATTTAAACGGCGGCAACGCACTTGTGAATCCTGAGCGGTCATGGGCGGCGGTAGTCACTCTGAATCACGTGACCTGTCTTCTCGTCTGCCCACTCTTAGGCGCGTCGCCCACACGAGCTGGAGTCGAGGCGGCGTCGAACGACGACGTGACGTTTACATTTCAAAGATGCGTGTCGATTTTGAAACTAACGTAAAATTCATTGAAATTGTACGAATGAATATTTGTATTTGATCAAACACGATCTGATTATGTTGAATAAATTTGAATGTATGAAGGAAGCAGAGCCGCCCGCGCCTCGACTCTACATAAACGCCACGCCTCGACTTACCAGTGGGCGAGGCGCCTTACATAAAAAAAAATGCGCTGCTGCCGTTTAAGTCAATCCCCTCCACCCCATGAATGATCCCATGTCATGTGCCAAAGCATCTTGGTATCCCTTCCTAGAATTAGTGGGGACTTCGGCTCTAGCTCTATCCGAAGCATGACTCTTGAACGGAAGTAGTGTATGAAACCCTAAAAATACCAAGAACAGCTTACCTGTATACCGGTACTTGTTCAAAAGCTTCACAAACTCAAAGCAATCGTATCCAAGAAGGAGGACCAGCCTGTTCTCCAGGTCCCTATCGTCTGCAGCATCAGCTAAAGCTAGGAGGACCTCACTGGACTTCGCTTGGGAGACCATGGCGTCTGGGAAGTGTCGGGACAGACGTCGTTGGAGCCAGTACGCGTCTATGTCCATTGGATGGAGGGTCGTTGCCTGGCGTTTTTGGGACTGTTCTTCGGTTAACTGGTCAGAGAAAAGAAGAAAAATTGGGTCATATACTTCATGTATATTATGTTCTCTAAAAGCTCAGGGCGGGATGGTTAGTGACCCCAGCTGCTGAGCAGAGGTCATGAGTTCGATCCCCATCCAGGACAAATAATATTAAGATAAGTACTACCATTTGTTCTCTGTATTTTGTAATATACGACTATTTTCATCAGCAGTCTGGTTACCCTTGTGTAGGATATGTTTAATTTAGTTTCGAAACGATAATTTTTTTAAATTAGTTTAAAGGTAATTGTTAATTAAGCTTAGTTACATTAAAAAAAAACCGCTTTAATGACGAACCGAATTGAAAAGCAGAAAATAGATCAGCGTTTATCTGAGTTCATTATTAGACCATTGTTATCAAGAAGACACTTAAACTCGAAAAACATAACCCTCCTTTTGGCGCACTCGTGCAATGCTTCATCTTCATCATCAACAGCCTTTAACACTCCACTGCTAGACATATAAAAAGCGGTTTTAGGCTACTATACCACATACGGGTTGGTATAGGGTCTGTTTCAAGTTTTTCTTCTTTTTGCAGTTGCAGCTGTTGTCCTGCATAGTTTGCTCCCTTAGTCGGCTCCTAGACACCCATGGGATGAATCGGAGTAGTGACGTGACATTCCATTGACTTAATCCGTCACAACATGGATATTAAGTTGGGTATAAACGTCAAATACATTATATTCAGTTGGAAATGAATGCACAAGTTTATCAGTACCTTAATAAAAGCATATCAAAAAGCATAAAAACTTACATTAGCATGTATGGCATTCTTCTTCCCTTCAGTATCGCTGTCCTCATCAGCACTGCTGTCTTTCTCTTTCTCATTCTCTGAACCCTCTTCTCCGTCTTCTTTATCTTCTTCCCGCACCTTTAAGAGGATAATTTTAAAGTAAATTGATATTAACTGTAGGGACACAACGTATCACACCTACTTACTTTCCTGTCATATGTAATAATTAATACGTAAGTGTACATTTCAGTTATCGTAAGCAAAATATGCTTACCTAGAGGCGGCTGCGCCCGCCGTTAATAGTCGGGAATTAAACCAGTTTACGTGAACACGTGTATACCTTTCATTTAATTGTCCCAAGATTAATTAGGGTATTAGATAACCTCTAAAGTAGTAAAACCCTTACCCTAAATTGACTCATTAAAATGAGACTTGTTTCCCACATATGTACAGACAGGTTTAGATTTTGACAGATGTGATGATTTCTAGAGCTTTTTAAGGGAAATTAATTGTTTTTTTTTTTAATGGCCTGTTGGTCTAGTGGTTACTAGCCCTGACTGCTAAACCAGAGTATAAGCTCTGCTTGAGGCCTTAAGCACAAGGCATCAAGGCGTCACTCAGACGACTCTCGTACTAGGAATACATCCTGAGTCGCGGGGGATTTTACATTCATAAAACGGAAGTAAAAACCCATTGAACCCACAACACTCAACGCAGTAGGAAGCAGTCAGGAGACGATTTATTATTATTATTACATTCACATCTCACACATATATATGTGTATGTAACTCAGCACATATATATGTATGTCTATCTCAGTATGTTTGTATGTATATCTGTCACATTTCCCACCACCCAAAGGTAGACTGGAAGAAAATGCCTGTAGTATTAAGTCCACCATTGTACAAGGAATTGTCATTTGTTCAAAAAGAATTAAATAAATAATAAACATCCACACCTAAATGCACGGATGGCAACTACGACTACGCCGTGGTGCCGAGCACTTAAACCTAGTGGTTTAAGTTGTCGCCATGCCGACACTTTGTGTGATTTACAAATTGTTGTTCTGAGTCTGGATGTTCTCTGTGTTCGTTTCATGCAAGTTTGTGAAGTCCCCTGTGACACAGGAATATATTACTAATTCTTTTAAAAAAAAACTGGGCGATAAATAGGCCTGTCTATTCCTTGCGGCATATAGGCGTAAGTTTATTGTGTTATATATGTATGTGTAACTTACCTCCCCATAAGCATCCTCATCATCTTCCTCCGAGGACTCTTCAAACTGGACATTGATGCCATATGTCTCATCTATCTCCGTGTTACCTTCTGCAGAACTGCCTATATTGAAGTCTGTAATTTTCTTGCCTGCAGATAAACAAAACTTCTGAAGTAGGAGAATGGATTTTGTACTTGTCTGATAGTTAAGGCTTCCTGTCTGATTATACTGAAGATTGCTCTTACTTTATTGATATATTTTTCAGGACATAGGTGGCAAACATATTCCATGTGGTTATGGGTTAAGAATACAGAGTGTCACTACCCCTATTCATCCCTATTGAGACAAAATCACTCCGAGAAGCCTGTGTATGCCCCAGGAAGTTTCTGCGCTTCTGGAAGTAGCTTAGCTGGCTCACATAGCCAACCTTTCCTCGACACAAAAAGGACCATACTTGAGTCTAAATGCGGAAATCGGTGCCCACTACCAATACCAATTCATTCCGTTTCGTAAGAGCTGACTGAGGGAGCAAACTACGCAGAACACAGCACTGCAAAGAGAAGGAAAGCTTGAAACAAACCCTATACCAACCCATCTGGCATGCGTGGTATAGTAGGCAAAAACCTCCTTTCCAAGGAGAGGCCTATGTCCAGCAGTGGACTGTTATAGGGTGTTGATGATGTTGATGGTAGCTAGCTGGTCACCTGATAGTAACTGCCACCATTTACAAGTGCACAGCTGGCCTTTGAGGAGCAAGCTGTTTTCCAAAAAGCTTTAAGATCTGCTTGTTTCCACCATATTACATACGAATAAAAACGTACCTAAATTAACCAAGAGGGCAAACCTCTCGTCAGCCACAGGTCCAAGCAGCAGTTCAATCTCTTTCTTCCTCTCTGGATCTTTGAGCTTGTCATTCTTTAACACAACCAGTACCTGTGACCACAAACACCGTGACAACGTGAATTGACCAAAATTATATATTTTTTTCAAACTGATTCGCAACAAGATTTGGCATTAGAAATCATTATTAATACTACTGTTTTTACAGAACAATTCATTTGTCTAATAAAGAGCATCTGATTTAACTTTGACAGTCAATGATCACATGATTACATGAATAGTTACCTCATCACAAGCTCCACAGAGGATATCCCTAGGCTGGTCTCCGAGAGCACTCTGCATAAAAGTCAGCAGCATCTCGTAGGCGTGCCTCGTGTGTTGGGCTCTCGGTCTGTATAGTACACCTGGAGTATCATCAGCCCATGCTACTCGAGCAGTCTTAGATTTTGACAGCTCATAAGATGCTTCATCACGTTTCTGTCGTCTGGTAAGAAAAAAAAAGGGTCAAAATAATCATCTACACAGTGTAAGAGACATCGTAACGAATTGTGTCTAAAAGCATTGGAATTTTCTTTCCTGTATACTAATATAATAATATGGATGAGCATGATCATTTAGTTTTGTTCTTTTGTATTATTTATCTGGATGGAATGGCTGGACCGATTTCGACGGGACTTTCACCGGCAGATAGCTGATGACATAAGGAGTAACTTAGGCTACTTTTAGCTTCGCCCCTTTTATAACAACAAACGCGGGTAACACTCAGTAACTCACACGTCTCAGCTAGTGTTTAAATATATAAGCACTAGGAGTTCTCAATCTCAATTGTATTTTAGTCACACAACTGTGCTCTTCACCCATGTTAGGTTCAATACACAACAGATGAGAAAAAAAAAATTTCATCACTTTCTTTTCGTGTTTTTTTTTTAATTACTAGTAATTAAGTAATAGTAACTAACCCATCTTTATTTTATTTATTAAAATGTTTATTTACAATTCTATGTGCCCGGGTAAAAGTCAAATGTGATTAATAGTTAGGTACAAACTACTGAACACTAGATGTTTCTGTGAGAGTTGTATGTAAAATTTGATAACTACTATATCTTAGGGTCTGATCACAGATTTTTATTCCCAAGTTTTTTTTTTCTGCCAGTGTGGATCCCATGTCAGAAAATTTAGCAAAAAACAATTTCATTTTAGTCTTGATGTTCACTTTTATTATAAAATAACCAGATCTCAGGCAAAACACACTTAATTTCTTTCAATTCAAGTTCATCCTTTATTTTAAAATGAAGTCCCCTTACTGCATCTGTCTGTCTGTATGAACGTGATAAACCACCAAACATATTTTTGTGCAATTTTCACCAATTCACCAAACAATGATTTAGATAATAATAATAATAACCTCGTATATCTCACACATGGGTGTCTGATCCCAAACTAGGCAGAGCCTGTATTATGGTAATCAGTCTGCTGATAAACATGCTTTTATATTTCTAAATACAGATAGATAAATGACACCCATACACAGAACAAACCATCATGCTCATAACACAAATATTTGTTCTGGGTAGGAATCGAACCCACAACCTCTCGTTTAGCAGTCAGGGTCACTAACCACTAGACAAACAGACCCGTCTGAACGAAATTGAATTTTCAACAATTTTTTTATAACAAGAATTGACCTCATAGTACAATAAAAGTATAGAATCAAAACTGTGCTTTTAAATGGCTTAATGAATCTCTTTAGCTCCGGTACAGTAGGCCTTCAGCAAACATTTAAATAAATAGTCTATTTAAGTTATAAGACTAAAAAACACAATTTTGATTATTATAGATACTTTGTGATTCCTGAATAATTTCAGGGCATTCTTAAAAATCTTAGTAATCACATATTATTTTATTTGTCGAATTATTAACACTTACTTGACTTTTCGTTCTTCTGTTTTGTCAGGCTTAGTACGCTGAGCCCTGTCACCCATTCGGGTTCCTCCGAGCTTTCCTGACAAGGACAATACCTCTCCTGTCGCCTCATCCCGACCACGACGCTCTATAAGTCTTACATCGGCTTGTAAAACAAGGTTAGAGTTCTGTAAAAATCAAAATAAAAACACCATAAGAATAACCATTCAGAAAATTGAATTGCTCTGGAAATCTTAACGCAATTGGATAATTAGACTGTCTAGCGACAAATTAAGAGTAAGTTTTGAAAGTAATTTAATGTAAAATTGCACAATAAAAAGCAATAATACCACAAAATACTTAGTTTTGTCATAAATATACTTACAGCTTTGTATTCATATTGCAACTGCCTGGCTGCTGCGTCAGCCATAGCGATTATCAAACTTTGCACTTATTTCACTAATACAAATAAGAATTCTCTTATCAACACCACTTATAACAACAAACTGCGACAAAACAACGTTTGCTAGGTTATACCGCCGTAGCCATGTTTGACATAGACTAATTAGACTTTACAAAAAAAAGTCCAAAAATTGATTTTGAATAAGAGGCTTTTTAGTTTCAGTCCCTCAAGAAGGAAAATAGAGTGAGTTTTTATAGTATAATATATGATCAATAGTAATTGCCTAATTTTTATTATAATGTTGGCACTGGGTTTTAGGTTTGTCACTTTTAATTTTCTTTCGATTAATTTTATTCTAATAAAGAGAAGAACGAATGATACCAATTATTTACATTGAATGAACTTTTGTTTAGATGAAAACAATGTTCAAATTTTAAATATTAATTTTTATCACAGTAGAAGAAATTTTGAATGTATTTTTATTGTTATTAATTCATTGCCTACGATCATGACTTAGTGTTATTTTATCAATACAAGGTGCAATAAACGCCAAAGTTTCTGGTGTTGAGGAAAAATGAAAGAAATGTGATATGAAGACAAGACGACGGCCACGATGACGCTAACTACTATTTGTAATTTATTCTCAAAGTTATAGTAATTAAAATAACCGGATAAAATGATAGGTGTATAATAAACTGATTTAGTCACTGTTTTAAATAATTCATTACGGAACACGCGCAAACTCATGACGTGCGGCGTGCGTTGTGCAATGTCAATAACCTTTCAAGGTCGTTTGTGGAGGTTGTTGAGTTTTGTTTTAACCATTATGTTAGCCATGTTTGATGTATTTCCTTGTAAAATTGACCATTTTTAATTCTTTCAAAGTCTAATAGTTGCAACTTTAAGTCATGATTGATGGTAGTTAAAACCTAATCTATCGGTTGCGACTTACTTTGCCTGTGTGAAACATTACGTGTAATGATACCATCATACTTACAATATTATTTTTTAAATAAAAGTCCTTCTATTTATAAAATCATTTTTTAAGGGTTTACTTTAAAAAGTGTTTTTCACACGACTATTTCAAATTGAATTCTATTTTAATTGTTTACTTGTTGTTCTCGCATAAAGATGACGAATTCAATAAATTGCAATATTGTAAACACAAATATGTGATTGTTTGGTAACTTTCATCCGTTAACAACTCAATCAATCATTATCTAACTATGCATACACGATGTTTGAGGTATAAAAAAGAAACAGGAGTGCCTTTCCTCCAAAAAAAATGAAATCTTTTTTTTTGTATCTTTGAGTCGTCAGACACTAAAATATTACAATACAAACAGTTAGCGGCAGGGTTAGTGTTGTAAGGCATTGACCGGCAGTTGACCTCAACTAAAATGAAAAAAACAAACAAAATTGGCAATTCAGACCAGGCGAGAAATATTCTTTAGAATAGATATATTATGGTGCAGTGGACCCCTCTAAAACTGTAGGCGCACCGTAGCACGAAATCTCGTGCTACCGTACGCCTGCAGTTCGATGCACGTGCCAAGAAGTTTACAAACAAGACCACGTGATGTAAACATTGGCATGCGCTCGCACAGTCCTATCTGACGCATGCTACACATTTATTACTTTTCTTGAGGTTGTCATTACTGATTTCGTAGTAAGATTTTTTATTTGTTAAATATATTTACATCGTTTACTCTGCGTCATCTACTTCCTCATTGCAAGAAATAGTGAAGTAGACTATGACTATAGATTCTAGTTAGACCTGTTTTTAATAGGAGTGAGTAGTATAAGTACATTGCTTGAAACATAATTATCTTGATAATCTTTTTATAATACTTCTGTCTCTATTAATCATAAGAAGACAATGATATTCAGGTGTTGGTAAACTAGTTCAATAAGTACCTACATAGTAATTGAAATACTTTGAAAAAGTAACAACCTTTGAAATATTTTTCTTTAGCTTTTAATATAAATAATGTAGGCTACGTAGGTATCTAAACAATAATGATTATTATATTTTAAAAGTAAATCAATTCGTTTTTGAAATGTTCCATGGTAATTCCCAGAAATCCACACTGCGGCCCTAATTTATTGATTGATAGCCTCAAATGAGAAACAGTATTCTCATTTTATACTAAGAGTAAATGAAATAGCAATATATTTCCGTCGTAGTGACGTGCGTGCGTGAATCACATAGCGAGTTACAGAAATAAGCTCATTGCTGTCACGGAGTGATATAAACAAACAGTGTATACTTAAATGTGACGTTAAAATGGCGGCGCCATCAAACGGTAGTGGCAATCTTGTTGAAGAATTTGAAGAATCGTTTCAGGTGAGGTTAAACTGTGATAAGAAAACTGTATTTATAGTGTATTTTTAACTACTTCATTTTTAACTTCATTTCATTCATAACCTCTGTAAAATGAGTTTGTAATACAAATGTCAAATTACAACATTCCTACCAACATAACGAATCTAAACTAATCGTGGCCGGTGTTGCTATCTAGTAGAAGCTTCGTATGCCAAATAAATACTCCAGACTGAAAAACGCTAAGAAATTTAGTGTGTACGTGACCCACATTTGCTTATGCAGCTTCGATTATCATTCGTTTGTCGTGAAGGGATTTTGTTGCAAGCGCATCTCGATCAAGTCGGCCATTTTACTGATAATGTTTTCACATCGTTACCAGAGGTTTATCGCGTGTTTGTTAACTCAATTAGTGAACTGAGAAGTATAGTTTAAAATGTCGCGGCGTGTTATTTATCAATAAAACCTGAACATCAATGAACGATGGTGCAATAGTGATGAAAGTGTGATTAAACATTTTTGATTGATTTTTCGTGTTTGTGATCGTAAAAATACAATGTCGGTCCCTGTGGATGACACTGCAAGCTCTTCGGGTGGAGTATCTATACAGGTATTCCGCCCTACATGGGAGGAATTTAAAGATTTCAACAAGTATATACAGTATATGGAGTCGAAGGGTGCCCACAAGGCAGGACTCGCTAAAGTGATTCCTCCGCCTGAATGGATACCTCGTAAAGGTGGTTACGATCTTGACCAGCTGAACGTGACTATACCTTCGCCTATATGCCAGGTAGTGACTGGCAAGCAAGGTTTGTTTCAACAAATTAATATTCAAAAGAAATCAATGACAGTAAAACAGTTTGGGGTGATGGCTAACTCTGCAAAGTACTGCACTCCTCGTCATAGCAGCTTTGATGATTTAGAACGAAAATACTGGAAAAATGTCACTTATGTAGCTCCCATCTATGGCGCTGATGTCAACGGTAGCATCACAGACCCTGACATCAAAGAATGGAATATCAATCACTTAGGTACAATCCTTGACTTTGTTAACTCTGATTACGGCATTGAAATCGATGGGGTCAACACTGCTTACCTGTATTTTGGTATGTGGAAAACTACATTTGCTTGGCACACTGAAGATATGGACTTATATTCTATTAACTATCTCCATTTTGGTGATCCAAAAACTTGGTATGCTATACCACCTGAACATGGAAAAAGATTTGAGCGTATCGCATCCGGCTTCTTTCCTACTTCTGCTAAAACTTGCCAAGCGTTCTTAAGACATAAGATGACGTTAATTTCCCCTCAAATTCTTAAACAATACTCTGTACCTGTAAATAAAATTACCCAAGTAGCTGGTGAGATTATGATTACTTTCCCTTATGGCTATCATGCGGGTTTCAATCACGGTTTTAACTGTGCTGAGTCAACAAACTTTGCTGCACCCCGATGGGTTGAGTATGGTAAGCGTGCTTTACAATGCACATGCAGCAATGACATGGTCAAAATTTCAATGGACACATTTGTAAAACGTTTCCAGCCTGACCGCTATGAGCTATGGTTGAAAGGCCAAGATATTGGTTGTCACCCTGAGCAGCCTGAGAAGATGGTGCCTGCTCCTCACCCATCAGGTCAAGATATTCTCTGTAATAAAAATAATACTGAGTTACCGGAATCATTCATTGAAGCTGAAGTCGAAGGCTTAAAGAAGAAGAAACGTCATCCTTTACATTTGAAGAGAGCAATGGCCAGTAAGAGTATATCAGAAGGGGCCATTGCAGTCTCTATTCTTGGTCATGATATCATGGATGATGATGAAATGACAATGGCTGAAGGAGATCTTGACATGATGACTTCTATGAAAAGACCTAACCTTCCATTGCAACCTGATGAGACACAGTTAGATGCATTGGAAGACATCTGGTTGAAAGGTGATGAAATGGATCCCTCAGAAGCCCAACTGCCTGATGTAGGTTATATTGATTCTGACAAAGACTCTGATTACGGAGCACCAAAGAATAAGAAGAGTTCAAAAACAAGAAAAAAGAGAAAAGAGAGTTTAAAAAAAGATGGCAGGGGTAAGAAGGATAAAGAGTCTAAAGATGAAGAACCTAAACCTAAAGAAGGTGAAGAGAATCAAGAACAAGATAAAGATATTGATAAAGATAAGGATGCTAATGTAAAAGAGAAGAAAAAAGTAACTCCGGTTTCCAGAAGAGGCAAGAAGATTAAGTCAAAGAAACTCTCAGAGGAACAGCTTGAGGATATGGCTGCAGCACTCTCAAACTGGGAATCCCCACCTCATGTAGAGGATGAGATCCCGATCAATAAAATAGCCCCTGTATCAGTTGATCCTCTGAACACAAACCTTGAAACTAAAGTGGAGCCTACACAATCTACAGCTCAAATAGAAAATAGTCCCATGACCAAAAAGGAACCAAAAAAGCGCAAATCATCCACAAAGACAGATGGAGAGAAAGTAGAGAAACTTAAGAAGGAGAGGGTTAAAAAGGAACCTAAACCACCCAAACTGCCAAAGCCACCAAAACCAGATACACCTCAAAAAGAAAAGAAACCCAGAAAACCGAGGACACCAAAAAAAGTTGTGATGGCAGCTCCACCTTATGAATACAACTCATTAGTGGAACCAATTATGGCCAGGCCGTTACATACATATGGCCCTATGCCCATCACAAGACCCACACTCTCTTCCCCACAGCCTTCATCATCAACCTCTGTGTCCACTCACACTTCTCCTCCAAAGATGATTCCTGCATCAGCAATTCCGTCGCCCGTATTTCCTAAAACAGAAAAAACTTACTCAAGCATACTTTTGGATGCTAAGTTAAGAGTACCAAAGGTTATTCCACCTCTGAACAAAAATCCTAGTGCGTTTGAAGATGAATTCCACAAATTCATGTCAAGCAAACAAAGTGAAACATCAAGTCCTTTACCAGTCACAAAACCGCCATCACAACCAAGAAAAACATCTCCAAAAACGGATAAAGTTATTGTTGAACCCATAGAGTCAGCAGCTGCTCCTAAAGAAGACATCCCAATGCCCATAGGCCAGTACAATGACTCTATATTCCTAAATGTACCCATAGACTATAGAAGATTTAGTAATAATCAAGAACGAATGCAACCACCAATGGAGAGGAGTGCGTGGAGACCTGAGTATTACCAGCCCAACGTACCCCCAATGCATAATGTACCGCATATGTATGGGCAAATGAACACAAATGATTATTATAGAAGTCCATATCAGTCTCCGTGGTATGGTTATCAGAAATGAGCAGTATTTTAAAAATCTAGGATTAGGGACAGTCCATTTTCATTGCAATGTTTTGAAACGAACTATTATGTCGAACTATTATTAAGAGTGCAGCTTTTTTGCAGTTGGTATGCTAGTATAATAGTCATAAGTTATGTATAATGGTGATATTTTAAATGTCAATGTTGTAAGTTATTTTAATACCTGGATATATTGTTGAAATGTATAGTATGAATGAGTCACTAAGAAATTATCCTTTTAAATATTATTTATTCCTTGTAGGCTTTCATCACTGAAATTGATATGTGGTATAGTATGGTTTTCACTATTTTCCGCCAACTTTACATCAAAGCGTGTATTTTACTTTTGGGGCAATTAACTGTTGTAGCCACTTTTCTATAACAAGTAATACCATCAGGCAGCCTGATGGTATTTAGTACTTGTAGAAACTTGTAGTAGCAGCACTATTTAGGGCTATCCAGTTGATATTGATTTAAGCAGAAATTAGTGTCAACATCTTGTTTTTATACATATATTGCAGTAATAATTATGTATAATTCCACATACCATCAATTTTTAGTTGACAATGACAATCTAAAATGACTGCTAAAGTTATTTAAGATTGTACTTGTTGAGCTAGTAACTTGTGTTTATAACTGGGTCTGACTGCAGATATATAATTTAATTAAATATTTTACTTCCCATATCAACCTTGAAAGCAACAGCAAAAAAGTTGAATTCTCAATATCAAAGTATTCATAACATTGTAATTTATATGTTACTATAGTGAAAAATTTAAATTAAAAATGCATAAGAAATTATTATTACTTAAGTGTCATTAAATTGTTCAAACATATAGATATATGTTTTACTTCACTTAATGAAATAGCAGCTAATATGAACAATATAGGCAAATAAGCTCACGAATTATAAAAATGAATTCTTATTTTAAATCTGTCGCAGGGATGTTATGAAAACAGGGATTTGAATAAATTTCTAGGAGATTCTCATTATCAGAATTTCTAGACTCATTTACTTGTGACGCCGAGTTCTCGGCGTCTATCGGCGGCGGTAGTCACTTCCACCGAACGAAAAAATGGAAAATATTTCCAAAAATTACAAATGACAAAGATTAAAGAGCACTCAGCACTCACTTAGCGCCCTAGTATCAAAGTGTCTCACTAAGTAGGGAATATCAGGCAACGGGTAGGACGTTGCAGTACTCGTGTGTATTATGATTACGGCACTTAGCCTAGTGGTGATAACTTTGTAAAATTTTATTCTAACTGATTCTGATTAGCACAGATTGGATAGTAAGTCACAATCGATATTGATGTTTATTTATTATTTTTGCGAGAGATGTCATGTATTTATTTATGAAAGTAAACCACCTATCCCTTTCTAGAGGTTTGACATTTTTTTTTGTGACTAATCCCACCCAAACGCCCACCACTGTAACTCCTGTACACCAGGATCCACAGCAGTGACCCACGAACTTACCGAGTTATGACACTCGGGAAGTTTGACATGTGTTTTATGGTCATACCGTCAATGCTAAGCCTTACAATCAAGAATCTTCAACAGTCTTCATTTAGTCAACATTTAGTTCTGCATCCCCCGAGCACAAAGGGTTATACAAACAAAAAAGCAAATACTCCATTTATCCAACTACAATCTTAGTCCCTCTAAGGGGTCAAAATTATTCTTTCAGATTCGTTTGATGAGCGCATTGAACTAAAATCTTCACCTTTTTGTAGTAAAATAAATGAGCTTCGATAGTATGCTCGTTTATTATCTTAGTGTTAAAATGTATAATCACAGTTTGATTGTTTTAGTTCTATTAAAAATGTAGTAAACATCAGTTTTGTAAACAAGTTAAAATCGCTGCCAGTCATAGACGAAATAAATTAATAATATAAATGTGTTGCTTAATAAATGCATATAATATTATTTGACGGCTTGAAATAGTTTAAACAAAGTGTTTTTGAGTGAGTGAGTGAAGAGTTTTTTATTTATGTAAAAAAAACTAAGACGCAATAATCGAAATTTTATTTTATAGCCAAAAATGAAATAATTACGCAATTTAATAAAGTTTCATATAAGGTCTCCATAATGAGATTAGTTCTAAATACACAACATAGAAAAAAGGATATTATAGGTATATCTCATTATTATTGGAATAAATTATTTAATTTTAGTCTCTACATTATATGAAATCACTTTATACCTATATGATATTAAAAACTATGTTGGTTGGTGTGGACGATCGTCTTAATAAAAGAAGTAATAGGAATCGATCACGGAATTGTCTATGACGAGCGGTTTCGCCTCATTTATCTTCACTGAAGAGGTACCGTGTTTCTCCGTAGCTTAAGTTTCAAGTTAAATGTTCACATTAAGCTTCCCCCCAACTCAACTAATTTAAGTGTACAATAGCTTAAATAAAAGAGTTCTAATGCGTGTTTTTAGACTAAAAAGATCCGAAAGAGTAGAGAGTAAGAACGTACCTAAATTGGAACCAGAGATATAGAGAAATAAAGCTATGAAAACAAGAAATGTACAGAGGGGAGATTTACCTTTGAGTTTAACTTGAGAAGGGTGGAAATTAGATGATTTCATGTGCTTGATAATAAATCAGCATAAGTATCATTCATTTGGACAAAAAGCAAATTAGCTCGGACTCTACTAAAATTCATAATAGTAGGCATTTAATCAAAACCCTGTTTTTGTCATATCTCCGTGATAACATACACCGTGCACGATAGTAACCAGCCACCAGAGTGTAGCAGTCTTACCACAGCTTGTTCCTATGGCAATATTATAGATAATTTCGGCCACATCACAATAAAAAGTTAGAATATTTAGTGCCAGCACATTGCATAGTAAAACGATATAATTATTATATCGTAATTAAATCGTCACATCGATTAACACCGCTCGAGTCGAAAATTGGCGGTTTTTACTTTTCAATGTCATTCGTTTTTTTTTAAATGAGTATCACACCTTTTTTATCCTGTCTTTTTAATCTTAACAGTGACGCCATAAGCCTATTTTTTTTAATGAGTGACGAACTTAGTCGATGTTGACAATGAATTAGTCGATAAAAATATTTAATGTGCTTTCTTATTTATACAGCTTTAATTATAAAACAAAGAGCAATATTGGATATAATAAATAGATATTGTTATTGTTGATGAATATTACAATTTCGTTGTTTAGTAAGTATAAAGATAAACCTATGAACTCGAATACCTAGACATAAGTTGTTTTTCATACAACAAAAGCTATAAGTATCCTGATTAATATTACATATACCAACGTGAGCTTGTTTGTTACACTTTCTTCTTAACCGATAATCGTGAATTTTTGACTGGACAGAAAAAATACATTTTTACACAGAAAAATTTGTTCCTGACAGATAGAAAAGGAACTGTTAGATGGTCGTCTGATTTCTGGAAAGCTAGTCATTTTATATGTACATAATATTTGGAGAATTATGTTTGTGAATTATACACAATCTAAGTAATTACCGTTATTGTGTGAATATAGAACTTACTGTCTGTTACACGGCACTAAGCGAGCGCTTATTCTGAGACGTCTATATCGATGCCTTCTACGTGTAGTGAGTGACTTAAAGTTTTAGCAATTTTTTATGGATTCGTAAATAAATACATCTTATATTCTGGTAGGGGGACTCAAAAGGCAACAACGCACTTGTTTTTCTAGAGTTGCAGGTGTCTATGGGCGGCAGGAGCCACTTACCATGAGATGGCCCGTCTGCTCGTTTGCCCTCGTATTCCATAAAAAGGCGTGAGGGGGTCTATGGACCCCCGGTCGGAACGAAGTTCGGCAAGAACTGTAAGATAAAAGTCTTGTTACACAATTTAACATTTTTATAAGATAGATTATTAACTTTCGTAACTAAATACAATCATATCTGGTTTCTATTTATCATAATGTCGCTGTTACTTATATGATAAATATTAATCCATGCATATATGAAGTCTTGTCGAATCTAGTTCCTTAGTCGCTCTAAGAAAGTAGCTTCGATAACTTACATTGAAGCCCTTTGGCGTTCAGCAATTTCCCATCCCAAACTAGGCAAAGCCTGTACTATGGTGACCAGACTGCTGATACACGTACTTAAATATTTCTAAACACAGAAAATACTATATGATCGTGCTCGTCACTCGAACGCTCGAACTTTTTCTCACAGGATTAATAGGCCCGTCAAATTGCCAGATGCATTTTATTGTTTATAATTATTTATAATCACTAAAAAAAATACCTTTTTGACAGTTGTGAGATCGTAAGTTTATGGGAACTGAATTGACACCGAACTTTTATTACGAGAATTGGCCTTCAGGTTGTGCTAACTGTGGTCGTGGACTCTTTCATGGTTCGAGAAACTCTTACAGTTAGTAATTGGCCTAAATACAAGTAAAGAGGGAAAGGGAATGTCTTGGAAATCAAAATTTACTTGTTCTGAAAGAATATTGAAAAAGTGTGTTTACTGTCCCCTGCTACCTCAATTAAGAAAAATGGTATATCTAAAAGTGGCTATACATTCTAAAACTCGTAAATCAGTCGCTGTTTGGGCTGTTATTCTGAATTAAATTAATCTTTGTTATTATTTATTACGTGGTTTTGAAATTTGCAACAATCCCCTGCCAGAATTATGCCAGGAAATATTACCTATTATAAATTCAATGAGGACTTTCATTCTTATTCGTTACTCTTGTAGCCCTTAGTAGACTTGTTAGTGAAAAGAATGTTAACAAAATACCATTGCACAATAGTAGAAAACGTCTTAAAAGAGAATCAATAATATTATATAATCATTATATGTATTTTATTTGTTGTTTATATTTCTATAAATAAAATATCAGTCAGATAAAGCGATATATGATACAAGTGACGACATACACGTATAATGGGAAATAGTAGACTAATTAAAATAAAAAAACCGGCCAAGTGCGAGACGGACTCGCGCTAGGGTTCCGTACCATTATCTATAAAAACGGCAAAAAAATCATGTCTGTTGTATGGGGTCCCCACTTAAATATTTATTTTATTCTGTTTTTAGTATTTGTTGTTATAGCGGCAACAGAAATACATCATATAATCCCTCCCACACGCCCACCACTGTAACTCTTGTACACCAGGATCAACAGCGGTGTCCCATGAACACCGAGTTATGACTTTCTTGAAGTCCCAGGAAAATTTAAACTGTCTTGGAACCTGCAACGAAATTACATTGGAGGAGTTGGAATTACAGTAAATCTACTTCCCTCCTTAGCAAAGCGGGAGCCAAAATGAAGTAAAATAGGCATATACCCATTTAAACAGTAAAGCACATCGGCCACAAAATATTATGGGTCCTAAGTGAATTGCCTAAACGCACGCCTAAATACATCATATGTGAAAATTTCAATTGTAACTATCACGGTTCATGAGATACAGCCTGGTGACAGACGGACAGACAGACAGACTTATGGACGTACAGCTGAGTCTTAGTAATATGGTCCCGTTTTACACTTTGGGTACGGAACCCTAAAAAACAGTAGTTTAATTTTTTTATAAAAAATATACCTACTATAGTTGCAACTATGAATGAAATAATTGCTATTAGTTTATCCTCTCGAAAATGTTTATAATTTTGACGTTTTGGGTTGCTACCATTACAACTGGGACCATGTATACATGGAGGTTCTGCAGCCACATAACCAGCGGCGCATTGCACGCTCGGAACTCTTCCGAATGAGCATGAACGCTGGTGATGTATGGCATACTACGTAGATACACGTCTGGCTTCATTAAGGCATTCTGGTCTACCGCAGTGATGGTAAATACTCTAGGCTTTATAGCCACCGAATTAGCGCGATTTGTTTTGTCTATGGGATACTCTTGTTCAGCGGTAATGTTTGACGTTGTAATGTTGAAAGGCGCTGGGAGATGAAGTTCTACTGGGCCGATTAAGCTCATTTCATACAGACTCTCTTTAGCGCTGAAGTCGATGATAATTCGTTGTAATTCTGCAGGTCCAATGACCGTCTTTCGTAGGACCGTCTGTCGTTAGGCTTGACAACTTCGTAGCGACACGGAAAGTGGTCTCGCATAGTGAAGTCCCACGAGTTTGGCCCGTATCCTGTTGCATTCAGGCGATCAAGCGGATTGCTAAAATTTTCCCCGGTTTTCGCGAAGCTCGCTTAAATAAATAAAAAAAATAATAAGTAATAATATTAAATACATTAGCAAAACAGTTCCAAGAGCATTTACAATGAGTGAGACAGAAGCGACTACCTACTATATTTAAAGCTTTAATGATATAGGTACGAATATTATAATGTTATAAATTTTGTTAGTTTGTATTGAAAGGGCAATCTTTTGAACTAATTGTCCCATTTTAATAATTATTCATTTACGAAGCTTAACCACATAATAATACAGGAGCCTACCAAAAGCCTCTACATCAATGGTCACGATTTGTTTGATAGTTTATATATCTCGTATATAATACATTTCACACATCTCACACACGGCCGTCTGATCCCAAACTAGGCAGAACCTGCACTATGGTAACCAGACTGCTGATAAACATACTTATATATTTATTAAATAGATATATATTATAGGTAACACCCAGACACAAAAAATGACCGTGCTCATCACACAATATTTGTCCTGGGTGGGAATTGAACCCACGACCTCCGGTTTAGCAGTCAGGGTCACTAACCACTAGACCAACAGGCCTGGGCCTCAATTCTGCTATTTTATGTTTACGCAAAGCCACTGTCATACCACTGACACGCTATTGAGATGCCATCGAGTGGCCATTGGCATCGGTATAACTATCGGTAGTTGAAAATATATTACGTTTTTTGAGGAAGTGATTTATTTATTTTTATTATAATAAATTATTAAAAATAAATAAAATATAAATTAAAATATATTATTACATATATCTACACATAATTCGGTCGATAAAAAGTTTGGTTGCTTATGAATGGTCTTTATCCTTTTAATTATATCAGTAATATGTTTATTAATAATAAATTTAGTTACGAAAGTAGATTATTTATATAAGTCGGGTATTTTAATGATTCAGGAGATCTTTGAAAATGGAACTTAAGCTTTTTTTAAAGTGTTATTATGAATGACGTTAGCATTTCAAAACGGCCTCTGATATATTCTAAACTCTTTTCATAAGACAGACTTTTAATACGGCACTCGACGATACAAAAAATATTTTTAGTTTTCTAGTAAGTTTTCTTTACTAAGCGACAAAAACACGTAAAATGAGTTATATATGCATAAGGACTCCGATAAACCAAACGTTTGAAGGGTATATATTACTCATTTATAAACCTTGCCTGCCTAATTTGGGGGGGGGGGGGGGGCGTTTCTTAACGGTGAAATGTATTTCTGAGTCTACTTCATTCAGATTGTAAGAGTATTCCAGTAGCTAAAGTGTAAATCCTTATTATTTATCGCAAGTATATGACAAAATAGCTTATAAATTATCTATAATTTAATCTGTATATTTCTGTATCTGTACAGGAGTTAGTAAAAAAACTAAATTATTTATGGTTTCTTTTTAACAAAAGATGATTAATTTATTTTCTCTATATTCTAATAAAAATCTTGCTGCACTCATATTGAGATGCTACAATAATAAAAGAAGTAAAAGTGAGAGGTATTGTCTCTGGCTGTCAACAGGTGGCGCCACTGTAAATATGTGTTCACAGAGAAGGTTTTTTATTGCGAATATGTTTAGTTATTAACTACGACTGATAGAAGAATTGTTAACTCCATACCTTGTATTTTCATTGTTGAATATGAATCCCCAGGGGATTTAAGCAGGGGATCCTAGTGGACGGAAAGATATCTAGGTTATTGTAGGTTAAATTTTAGCTGGTTATGTGCATAGAAGCGCGAAAATAATGTAAAACAGAATATTGTTTTGTAAGTACTAAGATAATAATTCTACTTAAAGTTGTGTATTACTTAAGTAACTCCGAAAGCGCATTTTTTAAATATCTATAATTACATTAGAAAAATAAAACAAAAACGGTTTTGTATAAATATAAACTTTGTAAACTTTAGTATAAATTATTTTCTTCTATTTTATAACTTCTTCCACTGAAATCTGCGCTTTTGGGAACGAAAAATAATTACAATTTGGGGATGCTAATGTTAAAAAAATTCGATGATCTTTGATATAAGTAGGGTAAAAAGCATTTAATTTCCAAAAATACAAACACACCAGTCACGTTAGCTTTAGTCAAAAATAGTTCTTGTAAATTTATATACATATTGACACAATTTAAAAGTAAATCAAATTATGGGTGTATAATATACTATTTGATACTTTGAAGCTGCGAAATCCGGAGCGATTTGAAAACCATGATAATTATTGGTCACCAATTTAAGCGACCTGGAGTAAAATTAATATAAATCGCAATATTATAAGTTATAAATTAAATTATAGTAAAATACTGTGAAAATAATTGGAGTTGTGACATAATCGTTTAAATCGAGATGTAGTTATTAAAAAACGACAGAAAACACGGCGTGACTCTCTTTCGCACATAATTCTTATAAAATGTTTTGGAGTTTGCTTGTTTCATTCCTTTCCACTGTTCATTGATTTGAAATTTTATGAATCCGTCATAAAAAAGTGTAGCGCGAAAACTATTAATAATATAACCCTACTTTAGTTATGTCAAATGTTTTTCTCGGATCTCCGATGTATGGCCAGGAATTTAGATTAATAGTATAAATATTTATGAATTGTTTACAATATCACAGAGCAGAATATGAAAATTATGTTAAAAATGCCTTAAGCTTGTAATAACAATGTAAGATAATAGTTCGAATTCGCGCCATTTTAATGTACAGATTTTTTTAAAGAATTCAGTAAATAATAGGTCTTTACCTATGAAATTGCCGTTTTGTATGCAATAAGTGAAAGTACTTATTTTTTCAAACTTTTTTATTTCTGTTATTCGAAGTAATCACCCATGCAATCGACGCATCTTTGCCAACGCATTGGCAGTTTATTGATGCCCTTGTAAAAATCAGCTGGACGGGAGGCAACAAACTCTTCAAAGGCAATTTGTACTGCCTCTCGTTAATTGAATTTTTTACCCACTAAAAAGTTGTCTAAATTTTGGAAAAAGTAATAGTCGGTAGATGCAAGATCTGGTGAGTATGGCGGATGAGGGAGAGCTTCCAACCCCAGCTCTTGCAGCTTGGAGACTGTCTGTTGCGCAGTATGGGGTCGCGCGTTGTCGTAAAGGAGCAGTGGGGACGACCGATTGACCAAAGCTGGTTGCAGATGTGACCACCAGACCTTGCACTTACCGACTATTACTTTTTCCAAAATTTAGACAACTTTTTAGTGGGTAAAAAATTCAATTCCCGAGAGGCAGTACAAAATGCCTTTGAAGAGTTTGTTGCCTCCCGTCCAGCTGATTTTTACAAGAAGGGCATCAATAAACTGCCCATGCGTTGGCAAAGATGCGTCGATTGCATGGGTGATTACTTCGAATAACAGAAATAAAAAAGTTTGAAAAAATAAGTACTTTCACTTATTGCATACAAAACGGCAATTTCATAGGTAAAGACCTAATATATATACCTAAGGATTCGTAACTTTCTGAATTGTTTGTAATTTATTCTAGTTTGATTGGTATATAGCAATTTTATTGTGTTTTTATGTGATGTGATTAGTGTGTTATGGAGTGGACTACTTTTTTGTGATATGTTCAAAAATAAATGATTGCTACACGAAGGTCATTTACACTATATTTAAGTAATTTGAAATAAAGATTTCTGTGAGATTTTATTTCACCGCTTGAGCATCTTAAGGTTGTACGTCTACTCTTGCTTTATGTGAAATCTTCAAAAAGTTACGAATCATTGTTCATAGTAGAATAAATTAATAGATGATAATTTTAAATGCTGTTTTAAAAATGGAGTTCTCTTAATAAAAGTTATGAAGAGTATATTTGTTTTCTTTTATTTATTGCATGCTTCGGCCCGGATGAGTCGGCTCTTTAGACTCTACTTGAGACTGGAGTGAAAACACGGCCTCACAGAAAACCCGTGCTAAGTAATTGTGAACGCAGTTGACTGAAGTTACCGGAGGAAACTGGAAAAAAAATTGATGATGTTCTCATTTCGTTTAATCTTTTTTTATGTTTGTTACGTCAGCTTGACGAATTTAAATATATTAAATATCCACAGAGATAGATAATACCATTAATCGATTTAAATTGTTTAGAATGATTGAAATAAGACAAAATGTACGAAGACTGGATCCCCCAGCCACACTATTAACCCGGTTTTGGGGGACAAAGAATGTAACTACAAGTACACAAATAAAGTTGAACTTAAATAAATAAATAAAAAGGTCTAGAATAGCTCGAAGAATACTTTTTATCTCGGAAAACTGATGGATATATTCAAAATAAACGCAATTAAGGTTAATTTTTAATTCAATATTTCAATTAAAAAAAAATGTAACGTAACGTAACGTAACCACAGCAGAAAATGATTTTGTGAAATAACTAAAGTGCCACGAAAAAAATGTGCGCAATTACAGAAGCCGGGCATCTAATCATCTGTAACATTTAAATGACTATTTTCGACATTATTTTGTTGGGGTAACGCACACTTAATTAATTTAATCCACATATAATATGGAAAATTACTTGCTCTAATTGACTGATTGATTCATCAACGCGGAGCCCAAACCGCTGGGGGTGCAAACTTAAAATTTTGGCAGCCAATGCTTTTTATGTTGTAAGTACCCACCAAAAAAGGATTTATGAAATTTCGCACCTAAGGAAAAAAAAATCCGTCATTTTCAAAGTCAGAGACATGAAATAAGAAACAATCGAGCTATGGCCATATATATTAATAAATATATTTCAATATCTAGCTAGTTTATCATGTTTAGGTATTGTTTTATGACGTAGACTTTTAAACGTAGGTATACATTTTGTATGGTATTGTTGACAAAATTGTCTCTCGCCGAACAACGGTCTCACGGGTTATCGTCCATTCAATAATACCTATAGTGTAAATATTATGTTTTCAGTTTATACTACAGATAGATAGGTAGGGCTTATAGAGAGAGCGAATTTCCGCATCATGTCACCACCGTGGGAGAGCCATGCTTTGGCACATTGGGCTGTTAGGCCGGAGTAGGGATGGATAAAAAATCACAATCATCTAGATCTAAAAAAAACAGGTAATTTTTGATAAAAGAATTATAATTATAATGGCATTTATCTTTCTCTATAACGAAATCACAATCACATGTCAAATCGCTGTGATTCAAACCAATCATTTCTATAAATGAATTTGCGTTTGCGTTCTTTCGTTGCGTTTCATGGTGTGGGCACTCAAATTTTACCAATGCAACTTTCACTTGAGCTCAGATGTGCATGGCCGGCGGTTGTCACTTACCATCTAGTAACATCTCTGCTTGTTTGTTTGCTATAACCCATAAAAATAGTTGACTGCACGGGTGTAGTGGTTTAAGCGGTCGCCACGACGCTCACTACTACGCTGAGTGTTGTGGGTCCGATCCCCACATGGGACGACACCTTGTGTGATCCACAAATTGTTGTTCTGAGTCTGGGTGATCTTTGTGTCTGTTTCATGTATGTTTGTAAAGTCCCCTGGATATATTCCTAATGCGGGAGTTGTCTTTTTAACTAACTAATAATAATAATAACTTGACACATCCCACACACGGCCGTTTTATTCAAAATTGAAATGTTTCCTAATAATTTCTATTAGATTCGCGTAATAACGGATTAAGAACACTGAGTATTACCACCTTAATTCATCCCGTGGGTGACGTAAGAGCCGACTAAGGGAAAAAACTACGCAGAACAACAGCACTGCAGAGAGGAGGAAAACTTGACACAAACCCTATACCAACCCGTCTGGCCAGCGTGGTATAGTAGGCCAAAACCTCCTTTCTAAGGAGAGGCTTATGTCCAGCAGTGGACTATTAAAGGCTGATGATGATGATGTCATAATAAAGGTAACTTACGTCCAGATCAAAATCAAAATCATTTATTATTTGCATAAAACAGGTATAAAGGTGGTAGAAGATACATCATAATAATACATGGGTACGCTGTAATATAACCTCTTAAAGGTGTGCAAATATTTAGACATACTCGTAGATATTTAAAAGATTATTATTTAGACGTTCAACATTACAAATACAATTTGAAGAATATATTCATATCATAAATTTATTCAGAGAATTAATAATGTCAAGAGTATTATGAATGTTATTAAGTCCGATCAATACAATAAAACCAAAAAATAATAAAAAAAACAACAATAATAATCAAATAGTGAAAATAATAATTAAAAAAAAATGTCACATTGTCATGTTCAATATAAATAACAATAAACGAGACACAGAACAAATGATCGTGCTAATCGTATACTTATTTGTCCCGGGTGGGAATCGAATCTACGACCGCCGGCTGAGCAGTCACTGTCACTAACCACTAAATCAACGGGCCTGTCGTGATGCACTGAATTCATCTTGATGGCATCTTATGTATACTATCACCAGATTTTAAGGGTAAAAGAAATGGTTAAGTATACAAGGAAAAAAAAAATGCATTGTGGAGGAACCCGGGACTCTTTATCAAGAAGTGAAGCGATCCGCTGCAGCGTGTCATCCACTAGCTTAGTCGGATGCATGAAAACTGGATTCAAACTGATATCTATCCTACAGTTACCAGAATAGGGTACATTTCTGTTTTAAAATAATTTATTTCGCCTATATCATTAAGTATAAAATCTTAAAGTACAGCATTAATTGTCCCGTATTATCCCTTGGTAAAAGTAAATGATTTGAGTGCGGTCCCAAAGGAGAATTTCGTACATTGACTTGTTATTATCCTGTCTCTGTCCCTCACGCGTAAATCAACAATAAACAATAAACTCTGCTGTTGTGCAATGGGATATTTGGTGTGCCGTGACATTGCTTTTCATATTCAAATAAGAACGTTACTCCATTTTTATATTTTATTAATCCTATTCGGAATATAATGTCATACTAAAATAATAATTTTATTATATTTCATAAATAAATCAGAACATACTGTACGATATGGCGTCAGAGCGCTGACTTTGTTTAGACCTAATGATAGTAGGTATATTCATATAAACTTAATATAATGTTAAAGTAACTAACTAATACATAAATATTAATTAAATTACATATATTCTACAAAAAATTATGGACTTGCAATTTAAGTAAAATTGTTTTTGACCTCTGACGGTAGGCACAAAGGTCATTGTACGAATTTCTTCCTGCACGACCGCACTTTAGCTGGGTGTGACGTCATGCCTTAGTATTTCATACAAAAACTTTTCCTGGTTTGACAATTTATATAAATTTTTGATTTGACTTGACATTCATCTACCCCATTAATATAAAAAGACAAACATTTTAATGTATTTTTTAAATATGACTAAACGGTCTTGTATAACGACTTCTGGCATTCGCTTGGGACGACATATCCTTGTTGAATCTCCAGACAGTTGAAGAATATTCTCCCCCTCTGGATCAAAGCTGGGTACCCGTTTCCTCTCTTGATGACGGAGTAGATAATCAGACTCAGGGGTACCCTGAGTCTAATTTTCAGGAGGAGTATGTGGTTTTTCCACTAAAATCACCCCGACGGGTAGGGTCAGACGCCCTACTCTGGGAAAAGCTGAGTACCCCTAGTTAATGTTTTTTGGATATTGTAGGCATGTCTGAACGTGCTGACGAAGCAGGAGGCGTCTCCGTGCGTGGAGAAGGAGGAAGTAAAGGTGGAAGTGGAGAGGTTCATCGATTTAGCGCGGCAGATGGAAGCCTTCTTTCTTCAAAAGAGGTTAGTTACCAGGACTCTAGGCTTAAGAAGATTAACATTGAAGTGGGTATACGGGCATAGATAATAAATAAATAATAATAAAAAACCTTACACATCTTATACACAGCCCTGTGATCCCAAACTAGGCAGAGCAAATGGTAACCAGACTACTGACAAACATATTTAAATATTTGTTAAAACATACAAATTATACATAAATCATCATTTATTACAGAATTATTTGTCCTGGGTGGGAATCAAACCCACGAGCTCCGGATTAGCAGTCAGGGTTCAGTGACCCTTGGACCAACGGGCCCGTCAATTATATATTTCAATGTCCTTTCTTCAGGTTCCTCCTCTCAGCGATGCGACCGGAACTCCTCGTCAAAGAAGACAACAACGAGTTAAAGTGTGAGCTGCAGAGGAAGGAGGAACTGCTGCGGAGACACTACGACAAGATCATTCAGTGGCAGGGCTTGCTGGCCGATCTGCAGGTTAGCAAAGTAATGACACAACATTTGTACATAAAACCTTATTTTTTTTAACTTATTCTATGTATTTATATTTCATCTACCTATTGCAATTATTATAATCTACTAGCTTATGTCAGTTATCGCGTTAAACAGGTACCCAATGTCTTTGAACAAGAATCAAACTACCAGTACACCAAATGTCATCTAAAGCGGTTATTTACCTCCTTAAAGGATGATTTCTGGGATAAAAATCTATCCTACGTCCTTTCCCGGAACGCAAACTATCTCTATTCCAAATTTCATCTAAATCAGTTTAGCTATTTAAGCGTGAAGAAGTAACAGACAGAACGACACACTTTCGCATTTACAATATTAGTATGGATATCTATAATCTAATATATCTAAAAATAAGTTAAACATCCGGTTTAAAATTCGGTTTGTTTTTACACGCTTTGTATTAGCTTCACTTGTATGTTTGTTTGTATGTTTGTAACCGACTCCTTTGGGCGTGATTTTGACTGACTTTAAACGGTCAGAATTCATTCAAACTTTGTAGATATATCGAGGACCGACGACAATACACTAATTTGTAAAAAAAAAAAAAATATAGTTTTGCGTGGGGTGCTTTTTACTATTGTCAACAGGCACCTAACGCTTTTTTTCAAATTTATTTTCTATTTTTTAGTTTGGTTTTCTATAGAAAGCGTATTTTTATAGTTTTTTAAAACTATTTTTTTTTATTATGCAGTTTGTGCATTAATATTCCAAAATGTTTGTTATACGTACTTAGAAGTTAGTTAAAGAACTTTTACGCGCTATAGGATCTACGTAGTTCGCCTTGCTTACGTTAGATGGCGCTGTACTATATTTTGAATCTCAGTGTCGCTAAAATTGAATTCTCCGTACTAATTCTTCTCAGCCCACTACTGTTTAGTTCTATTATCTATATATAAATGTTAAGTTGGATTGTATACACTTCAAAAACTCAAAAAGTTCTACACCGATTGACCTCAAATTTTGACACGATTTACAACCCACTTCAAAGATTGTTTCTGTAGTTTGCGTTTGTCTAGTACCTCATTTTTTCACAACAATAATCACAACAACAATACACATGTCGTATGTTCTAGGGTCACACAGTGTACAATAAATGCCAGCAGCAGCAACAGAACACGCAACAGCAGCAAGCTGTGCAACAAGTTGCAGCGACACAGCAGCAACACGTTGTGCAACAGAGTGTACAGGTATAAAACATTATTATTATAAATAATAAAATAAAATATGGAACGATATATTACACAAGCTTCGGTCTACGGTAAATTACATTAAACAGAAATATTTTTAGATTTTTTCTTATGGTTATGTCTATTTTGGACACATCTCACACACGGCCCTCTGATCTTAAACTAGGCAAAACCTATACTTTGGTAATCAGACTGCTGACAAACATACTTATATATTTCTAAATACATACATATTATAGATAAATTACACCCAGACTTATATATCTTATCACAAAAATATATATCCTGGGTGGAAATCGAACCCACGACCTTCGGCTTTGCAGTCAGGGTCACTGACCACTAGACTAGACAAGCCAGTCTTTTATTAGCTATTTAAGACAAGAAACCCTGATAACCACAATGTATTTCACATATATGATATGAAGTTTGAAGCATCCATTCTATATCATCAAAAAAAAAAGAAAAAAAAACCTCCTTTCTAAGGAGAGGTCTATGTCCAGCAGTGGACTATTATAGGCTGTTGATGATGATGATGATTCTGTATCATTGCTATTACTTTTGGTACAGCTAAATAAAATCATCTATGTATTTGGTATATAATAGTCAACTATATTGTAAATTAACTACCAGCGGCCTACCTAGGACTATTTGGAATAGGATTATTTTTGGATATATATCTCATTAATATACATTTTTTGGAGTTTACTCCTTAGGAATCGATTTTCATATAAGGCGCCCGGTATGAAACAATATGAAGAGTAAAATTTAGTGATCGAATGACCTCGATACGTTTCTTGTGCCCAATCTGTCGTGGCCACCTTTCTCATGTGTGTGTATAACTTGAATACTTGTGTGCAGCCGAATCGTTCTTAAGGAGTTAAGTCCAGTCATGCGTCGGAGCTGACACACACACGTTTTTGTGCTTTTTTAATATTCATTTACATTTATGTCTAGTTTAGGTATCAATTGTATTAAGTTTTTAAAGATTTTTTTTGTATAACCAGGCCCAACAAATGGCAGCCGCGGCGGCAGCGCAACAGGCCGCGTTACAGCAACAAGCTGCGTTGCAGCAACAACAGGTACCTCGTCCCCCGCACCCGCCCGCATACCCCGCTAACGTGCCGAGACGGTAGTAGTTTAGGGATTATTTATTGCTTTAAGGAGTAACTTTATTAAAGGAAGTGATATGCAATTATGCTCACATGTTATGTGTGTTGCGGGCAAACTCGGGTCTCTGACCGAAGAGGGGTCCAGGAGCAGTAAACTATCAACGCCAAAATATGGCGATTCTTATAACATTCAGTGGGCAATGTGAACTGTGTCGGATAAAAGGTTTTTAGTAAATAAATCAGTAAATATCTCTATAACAAGATTTATCCTAAATAAATATTTGACTTTAGGAATTTCTTGTAGTTAAAACTCAAATTTTAGTACTATATTTTGCTATCTTAGCTGTATAGAATCTTTTTGTATTACTCTGCAAAGGAAACTTATTTAGTTTTTGTTAAAAATATTATTTTGCACTTGAATATAATTTCTTTTTAGTACTTAGTTAAGCACTTTTGTTTAATTTAATTAAATTTAGTAATAACTATTTTTTTTTGTTTTATTTATTTTTTATCCTCACCGCTTCAGATTTATTTGACATGGCAACACTTAAGGTATGTTTTTTTTTTAAATTTTATTTTATGCACGTGTGTTTACATTTAGTTAGTGATACTGGATTGCATTAATGCTTGTTGAGTAATTATATTTTTGTGAAAATTTTCATAATTGTGTTTCATATCAATAAATATTATGGTGTTCATTTATTATTAGGGAAATATGTATGTGAAATAAATTATTTAATGTTACTTGTGAAAATTTAAGTTTTGATCATCAATAATTTGATTCTTTACTAAATTCCATTCGCGTTAAGAAAATAGTGACGCTACAATCAAGCTCCGCCCCTCGACCAATCAGGTTCTAAGCTTACGTACAAAACGTTATTTTTGGAACCTGATTGGTCAGGGGGGTCACTATTTTGTGACTATCTAGTCCAGCGAATGACAGTTTTTGGCTCCCATTTTTTTTAAGAAAAATGGATTTTGCTGAAATTTTGACAGTAAGTAGGGAATACCTCAAAAAGTAAAGTGGCTATAGCTCAAAAAATATCCGAGATATGGCTTGTCAAAGTTAAAGAAATCAGTACCGCCCTTGAGCCCTTTTATCATTGATCTTTATAACATGAGCGTAAAAGCTTATAAAATTCTATACAAAATGGTTATCTTTTTCCATTTGGTTATTTTTTTTTTTAGTCCAAAATGCAATCGGGAAAATATCAAAAAACCAAACGCATACTTTTTTTATTTTGGATCAGAGAAATGCGTATACTATACATAGTGATCTCATCATTAGCACTTAGTGAAGAGGTCTTGTGTGTGTATATGTGTGTATTATATATATGTGGTAAATTATCATCGCTTGTTAGTACATTTGATGCTCTAAATGAGAATGAAAAGTTGTATACGATTTAAATTTATTACCTCTTTTTTTATAATTTTATGGTAATAGGGGTGTTTTTAAAGGGTATCATTTATACAAGAACGTACCATTTACCAACCTATTTAGAGATTATTTTAAGACCCAAATGCTAATTTCACCCTCAAGACGCGCGAAAATAAGAATACAAATATGTTACCTATTGTCTTTCTCGTGAAAGCTGCTACAACTTGTAAAAACGATATTTATTGTCAAGCCACATAGTTCCTAATCCAAAAAGGTGCAAAATAATTCCAGTTTCGCAACGCTGATTTATTACAAAAAGTGTTGATACACTTATGGCATACTGAATGTTTCTGGATTCCGATAAATAAGACTAAATATAAGACTTACGATATATTTATTGTTTTTCATAGTAAATTCCCTCCCAATCAAAGCATTTTTGCGTTTGCTAAAACCACTGTATTATTAAAGGAAACGTACACACACGTATTAAGTGCATATTGAGTGCATATTAGTATTAAGTGCATATTAAGAGGAGGTGTTTAAGCCTTAAATTCTTCAGGGGTGATGGTGGGGGGTCTGAGTAGTTATTGTTATGGGTCCTGTCTGTTTTGTGTGTATATTATTATGTTCTGTGTAATTTGTAGGTGATCTATGCCTGTAACTTATATAATACCTCTTGATCCTGTTCTGTATTGTCTTATGCACTGTAACTTATCTCTGACTTATATAAGTGAGGATTTGTTATTGGCTTTCTGTTTTCTTGACTGTTTTTATTGTAATCATCATAGCTGTAAATCCTCCATAGTTGTAATAAATAAATAAATAAATAAATATTACCTGCGGTATCCATCGAGAGCAAAGCTTCCAAAACTTCAGATGCACATGTAAAATGTTTTGCACTTGGTTCATTCTAATGCCTAACAAAGCACGAATTTGCTGGCAAGTAATTTTTTTGTCAGTTTAAATAAGTTGTCGTACGGTGTCAATATTAGAGTATGTAACCGCAGTCGCCGGCCGACCTTCTAGTACCTCGTCATGGAGATGATCACGTCCACGCTTAAATTCTCCAAACTACGAATACACAGAGCTGCGACATGGTGCTTCATCACCAAATATCAATAGAAGTTTCTCGCAACTCTCTTGTTGACTTGCTTAAGTCAACGACAATCATAAAAAATCATTGAACGAAAATGTTCACGAGTTGAATTCACAACATAATTTTCGAATGGACGTCTTAATGAAAAAACAAATGAGTCTCGCAAATTAAAAAATAACATGTTCTCAAAGAGTTTTATTTTAGAATCCCATAATTGTTTTTTCATTCTTTATTGTAAGTGACCAGATCTAGAGACTTCCAGTATGCCACACGTATGTAATCGTTACGTAATTTGTTAAATAACAATGTTTTATGTGTCAATCATCATCATCAGCCTTTAATAGTCCACTGCTGGTCATAGACCTCTTCTTAGTAAGGAGGTTTCGGTCTACCATTCTGCGCTGGCCAGACGGGTTGGTATAGGGTTTGTGTCAAGTTCTGCGACTGCAGTGAGGACTCGGCCAAGCACACGCTGGCAGTCTGCCCCGCATGGGCGACGCAGCGCCGGGCCCTCACTGCAGTCATCGGAGTGGATCTTTCGCTACCGGCCGTAGTACGCTCCAAGGCCGGTAGCGACAGTTGTTTTACCGCGGTCGCAACCTTCTGTGAATAAGTAATCTCGCAGAAGGAGGCGGCGGAGAAGGCCCGGGAGGACGACCTCCACTCGGACCCGATCCGCCGCCGGCGAACCGCGTCCGCGTGTGCCGGACGTCGCCTAAAGAGAGGAAAATATTGAGACGGAGCCCGCACCAGGAGCGGGCTGGCGCTAGGAGGGGTCCGGATGTCTTAACAACAGCTGTTCCCGGATCCCTCCTGTTACAGGCGCAGAGTGGCACACCGTGTGGTTTTAGTCGGTCCGAGTCCGACACACCACCCCGCCGCAAACCCCGGTGGGGTGACGGTCCGAGGGGATTTCCACACGTTAAAAAAAAAAAAAAAAAAAGGGTTTGTGTCAAGTTTAAATTCTCTTACCCTTCCGTCTACCAAGAATCTTTCTGTGAGGCCATGGTATCACTCCGGTCGAGCAAAGGCTCATACGTGCTGAAGTATGGCTCACACATTTTAAAATATATATAAACAATAACCTGGTCATGCTATAACTTGACAATGCTTTGAATAGCTCTTTTATTACTCTACTTGGTAGATCTCACTAACATGCTCCCAGATTATACGTTCTTGAAAAATACTCTAATGACAACTTGTGACGTCACACGTTGCTATAATTTACGTTTGAAATTAAATCATAAGAAACTTGAAAGAGATATAGTTTTTCAGTAACACTTAACATGAGGACTAAAATAATTTATTTTAACCATATGAAGTTACTGTGGTAACTCAGTTTCCTTTAGTAACTTTTTTTTATTAATATAACCAGCAGATGCAAAACAGCCTCGCTCAAGGCATGTTCATGGCGGGAGGAAGGGGAGCATACGCCGCCACTACCCTTCAAGGTCCTCTGGCTTACTTGGAGAAGACCGCTACTAATATAGGTAAAACACTTATACTGCGATGTAGGTTCAGTTAACTTGTAATAGTTTACATAACCTTCGGTAGATGGCGTAAAGCGTATACACCACGTTCACACTTTGGACACTATAAGTATTATGTTGGATTTCAGACATGGTGGGTATGGGTGATGGACGAAGGTGACGCGGCCGCGGGAGGGGCAGGGGTAGAGGCCGCGGCAGAGGCCGAGGTGAGTATTTCAATCAATCTGTCAATATAGTCTTATAAGCTGTGCAGTCGAACTCCTCCAGGGGAATTTGAACTTAACGTTTGGTTTTTAAGGTTCAAAGTCGCTAAACATGCATTTTTTTATGCTCTTCAGTCGAACTCCACCGAAATCAGGGGAAATTTGAACTTAGCGTTTGGTGTTTAAGATTCAAAGTCGCTACTCATGCGTTTATGTTTTTTTTAATGAAAATTAAAGCAGCATTTATGCACGACTGCTGCTATGATTTAACGTGATTTCTACGCCATCAGTGTCGATGTGCATGTTTATAAGATTTTATAGTTTGATAGAAGAAGCAGTTCTGATTTCGAAGCAACCGAACGACACAACTTTGAAACCAGAACTAATTTTATACAGATATTAATTAATTTATTAATAGACTACAAAAAATATATGTGTAAGGTTGACGGCAAATCTGGATTTCCCTTCCTAACTGTCATGCAATTGACCTTTTCTCTTGCCGTTGCAGGTCGTGGAGCATCCCCTGAATATGGAGGCAGCATGACGCCTCCATAGCGCGAGCCCCTCCTGGCGGTGCCGGCGTTACACACACATCACACATTCTAACACAACTCACAAAACAACTGAGCCATCCTGAGACGTCTGGCAGATGTGAAACATCGAATGAGAGTCACTTGCGCATGGCGACGCATGCCGTAACGACGCATCGACACACCAACAGCCGGTCTGACCCTCAGATGTTTCACATCAAAATGACGTACGCATATAGTTGTATGAAACACAGAGTTACATTATTTTATTAAATTCAAAAACTATATATACTTTAGTGCCAATATGTTAATGTCTGTTAAAAAGAT